ACATGTATGGATCTGGTGGTTGTATTTCTACACTTGGCATCCATCTATGTATCAGCATGAGCTGCACAGCCAGATAAAAATGTTCATCAATTAGAATACAAGCTTAGAACAACAAATACTGACCCCTGATGCCCACTTGGCATGCATGACCCCGTTCCACTCGCCCTCTATGGTGACAAATGGCTTCTTCTCATTAGGTTCAAAAATCTGGGCAGTTACTCTATGCTTCTTGCTTCCATAAAATGGCTGCAATAAACAGAAATCGTACACATTTGTTATACTGACATAAAAGCTTTCAAACATGACAGTGTCAGAGCTTCAAACGTGTGAAATGCGCTGCATTTATAGTGTAAAAGTACATGTACCAGGAATACAGTCACATAATGTGAGTTAATTACTCACCCACAAGCAGGCACAATTACATTTTTTTCAAAGTTTTTCTTTTAATGTACAGAAAAACATGCATTTACATACAAGTATGTTTAGAAAAAGAAGGCAACAGTATACAGTATTTAGACCATATGTGTACGACAGGAACTACATATCTAAATTAAATTAATAACTGTATGCTTACACTAGAAAGATATTTACACAAGAAACTATGCAATTACATTAACAGTTGTATGCTTACATCAGGAAAATTGTTAAACTAGAAATATACTTACACCAGCAACTACATATGTACATGAACAGTGGTATGCTTACAACAAGAACATTGTTACACTAGAAATATATGTACACCAGCAACTACACATTAACATGAACAGTTGTATGCTTACACCAGGAAAATTGTTACACTAGAAATATATTTACACCAGCAACTACACATTTACATGAACGGTTATGTGCTTACACCAGGAAAATTGTTACACTAGAAATATATTTACACCAGCAACTACACATTTACATGAACAGTTGTATGCTTACACCAGGAAAATTGTTACACTAGAAATATATTTACACCAGCAACTACACATTTACATGAACGGTTATGTGCTTACACCAGGAAAATTGTTACACTAGAAATATATTTACACCAGCAACTACACATTTACATGAACAGTTGTATGCTTACACCAGGAAAATTGTTACACTAGAAATATATTTACACCAGCAATTACACATTTACATGAACAGTTGTGTGCTTACACCAGGAAAATTGTTACACTAGAAATATATTTACACCAGTAACTACACATGTACACATAATGTTGTACCTTGAAACAAGCAACATCTGCATGAGGTTTGTTACATATTAGCATTGCAATTATGGCCTTACACACTGTACACATTTACATGCACACAACATGTACACAACTCCTGCACACAACATGTACACAAGTCCTGCACACAACATGTACACAAGTCCTGCACACAACATGTACACAAGTCCTGCACACAACATGCACACAAGTCCTGCACACAACATGTACACAAGTCCTGCACACAACATGCACACAAGTCCTGCACACAACATGTACACAAGTCCTGAACACAACATGTACACAAGTCCTGCACATAACATGTACACAAGTCCTGCATATAACATGTACACAAGTCCTGCACACAACATGTACACAAGTCTTGCACATAACATGTACACAAGTCCTGCACATAACATGTACACAAGTCTTGCACATAACATGTACACAAGTCCTGCACATAACATGTACACAAGCCCTGCACATAACATGTACACAAGTCCTGCACACAACATGTACACAAGTTCTGAACACTACATGTACCAAAGTCCTGCACATAACATGTACACAAGTCCTGCACAAAACATGTACACAAGTCCTGCACATAACATGTACACAAGTCCTGCACATAACATGTACACAAGTCTTGCACATAACATGTAAACAAGTCCTGAACACTACATGTACCCAAGTCCTGCACATAACATGTACACAAGTCCTGCACATAACATGTACACAAGTCATGCACATAACATGTACACAAGTCCTGCACATAACAAACAAGCTCTGGTCAGCAGAGATAGATTGTAATCACCTTTGTGTGGAACTCAACCAGAGCTGAATATCCAGTCTTGGCACAGGTGATGTTGATTTTGCCACCCAGTTCAACCCAGGGCACAGTCAGTATGGATCTAACAAGAGAGAAGAGATTGCACACAAACATGTGACTGGCTGTTTGACATGTGCTTGATTCAGTACTGACTGAACTGGTGATTAACTGGCTGTCTGACATGTGATTGATGCAGTACTGATTGAACATGTGATTAACTGGTTGTCTGACATGTGCTTGATGCAGTACTGATTGAACTGGTGATTAACTGGCTGCTTTACATGTGCTTGATGCAGTACTGACTGAACTGGCGATTAACTGGTTGTCTGACATGTGTTTGATGTAGTACTGATTGAACTGGTGATTAACTGGCTGTCTGACCTGTGCTTGATGCAGTACTGACTGAACTGGTGATTAACTGGTTGTCTGACATGTGCTTGATTCAGTACTGACTGAACTAGTGATTAATTGATTGTCTGACATGTGCTTGATTCAGTACTGACTGAACTAATGATTAACTGGTTGTCTGACATGTGCTTGATGCAGTACTGATTGAACTGGTGATTAACTGGTTGTCTGACATGTGTTTGATGTAGTACTGATTGAACATGTGATTAACTGGTTGTCTGACATGTGCTTGATGCAGTACTGATTGAACTGGTGATTAACTGGTTGTCTGACATGTGTTTGATGTAGTACTGATTGAACATGTGATTAACTGGTTGTCTGACATGTGCTTGATTCAGTACTGACTGAACTGGTGATTAACTGGCTGTCTGACATGTCCTTGATTCAGTACTGACTGAACTGGTGATTAACTGGTTGTCTGACATGTGCTTGATTCAGTACTGACTGAACTGGTGATTAACTGGTTGTCTGACCAATTTATTCATCCATCCACTGACAAGACTCATTTATGAACATACTGATAGGCTCATTAGCTGATTTTCTCACAGACTTGCAGATTACTTGACAGACTGTCTCTCTGATGCGCTGATTACCTGACACTCTGACTGAATGACAGACCCATACACTGACAGACTGTCTCTCTGATGCGCTGATTACCTGACACTCTGACTGAATGACAGACCCATACACTGACAGACTGTCTCTCTGATGCGCTGATTACCTGACACTCTGACTGAATGACAGACCCATACACTGACAGACTGTCTCTCTGATGCGCTGATTACCTGACACTCTGACTGAATGACAGACCCATACACTGACAGACTGTCTCTCTGATGCGCTGATTACCTGACACTCTGACTGAATGACAGACCCATACACTGACAGACTGTCTCTCTGATGCGCTGATTACCTGACATTCTGACTGAATGACAGACCCATACACTGACAGACTGTCTCTCTGATGCGCTGATTACCTGACACTCTGACTGAATGACAGACCCATACACTGACAGACTGTCTCTCTGATGCGCTGATTACCTGACACTCTGACTGAATGACAGACCCATACACTGACAGACTGTCTCTCTGATGCGCTGATTACCTGACACTCTGACTGAATGACAGACCCATAGACTGACAGACTGTCTCTCTGATGCGCTGATTACCTGACACTCTGACTGAATGACAGACCCATAGACTGACAGACTGTCTCTCTGATGCGCTGATTACCTGACACTCTGACTGAATGACAGACCCATAGACTGACAGACTGTCTCTCTGATGCGCTGATTACCTGACACTCTGACTGAATGACAGACCCATAGACTGACAGACTGTCTCTCTGATGCGCTGATTACCTGACACTCTGACTGAATGACAGACCCATACACTGACAGACTGTCTCTCTGATGCGCTGATTACCTGACACTCTGACTGAATGACAGACCCATAGACTGACAGACTGTCTCTCTGATGCGCTGATTACCTGACACTCTGACTGAATGACAGACCCATAGACTGACAGACTGTCTCTCTGATGCGCTGATTACCTGACACTCTGACTGAATGACAGACCCATACACTGACAGACCCATACACTGACAGACCCATACACTGACAGACCCATACAATGACAGACCCATACACTGACAGACTGTCTCTCTGATGCGCTGATTACCTGACACTCTGACTGAATGACAGACCCATACACTGACAGACTGTCTCTCTGATGCGCTGATTACCTGACACTCTGACTGAATGACAGACCCATACACTGACAGACTGTCTCTCTGATGCGCTGATTACCTGACACTCTGACTGAATGACAGACCCATACACTGACAGACTGTCTCTCTGATGCGCTGATTACCTGACACTCTGACTGAATGACAGACCCATACACTGACAGACCCATACACTGACAGACCCATACAATGACAGACCCATACACTGACAGACTGTCTCTCTGATGCGCTGATTACCTGACACTCTGACTGAATGACAGACCCATACACTGACAGACTGTCTCTCTGATGCGCTGATTACCTGACACTCTGACTGAATGACAGACCCATACACTGACAGACCCATACAATGACAGACCCATACACTGACAGACCCATACACTGACAGACCCATACACTGACAGACCCATACACTGACAGACTAGTTGACATAGCTGAAAGTTTGCCAAGCTGCTAACAGTCACAATCATTCCTATCAAAATATATCTCTCATATCTAATGCCAAAAGAATATACTGATAATGTGGGATGTCCAGTCATAGTGTAAAACCTCCCTCTTATATTCATCTACCCTTAGGGCAAACCCTCCCTTCTGCATCCATTCACAGTGTAAACCTTCTTCCCACATCTTTTCAGTGTAAAACCTCCCTCTCACAGAGTAATACCTTTCTCTGGTATCCAGTCTGTAAAACCTACTTCCCATATCCATTCACAGTGTAAAACCTACATCCCACATCCTCTCAGCGTAAAACCTCCATCCCGTATCCAGTCAGTGTAAAACCTACCTACCAAACACAATGACTATAAAACCTACCTTCCGTATCCACTGGGGAAGGACAAGGTATACTCCTCATCATAGTCTAGCACAGACAAGACACACTCCCCTATCATGTGCACCCCAATGGACAGACCCAGGAACTTAGACTTGGTCCAGATGTATCCATCCAAGGAAATACGCTTGCTGTAGTTCTCTGCATAGAAGGCTGAAACTGGAAAACATAGACCAACTTTGTGGATAATCTGCATAAATGTGGGCTGTCACAAATGAAATGTACAAAACTCAACTTGTTCTATATGGATGTGGGATGTCAGAAATGTGATCTAAAACAACATATTAACGACTTCCTTCACTTAACTACAGAGAAACATACACATATCTGAAACATGTAGAGAGAGAGATGTCTGTAAACCTTAACCAGGGCTAGGACACATACAATGGTAAGTGACAACAGTTACTAAACATGAATTTTGAATGTCCTTCACCAGTGCTTGAAAATGTGGTTTTGACAACTGCCTTCATGGCTTCAGTCCATGCTGGTGAAGCGGCTTGTATTGTTATCTGTAAGCCCAGTGGTTATAGGTTTGAATCCCCATTAAGGCAGACATTTATGCTGACCTTAGATGCCAGAATGACATAGTCTAAAACTAGACACCAGGAAGAAAAGAACATCCATGAAATGGAGTTTGGTTGATCAAACTACTGGTCAAATGGTCAATACAGTCAAGGATGTGGAAAATGACTGAGAATTCTTCCAGTCAGTCGTTAGTGGAGGTTCCAACATGGCTGCAGACAGGTCCCCCCACAACTGCTCTCATTCTGTGTCAGTGGAATTGACAAACAAAATCTCCTTCCTTGTTCAATCTGAAAACCAGTTTAAACAAACAAACAAAATCTCAGTTCTGGCACAATCTTGAAGCCTGCACATGGAACATAACATGCATAAGGCAGCTGTGAGATTTGCTTACAATAACTATCCCACATCAAAATTTCAGCTGACTATTGGTGCAGATGTTCAATCATGCAAGTAGACATTGTACCCACAAAAGTACATTCCCAATGTAACTGGTCACCCGCCATTTTGGTGCAGGCATCAACAGAAAAAACATTCCACATGAAATCCACAGGTTACAGAGTTGCATCTAAGTAGCTGGGCGACAGAACCGTTTGACTCCCAGTGCAGAAATGGAGAATTTGCATTAGTAAAACCTTGCTGGAAACAACTTTTCAGAGCTTTAGCAGTCAGCTGGCTATCAACTATTTTGGCCAGAAGTCCTCTTCAAGTTAGAACTGATGAAAGTAATGTATGTTAGAGTTCACACCCACATGCAATCCAGAGGAATGCTGACTTACTGGGAGGGTGGTGTGACACCTGCTCTGCAATGAACACCAGGTCATTTCTCTTGGCCCAGGGAATAGGTCCATCAGCAGCCATATCCTAGGAGACATAAACACACATGGTCAATGCCCAGCAGCAAATGCCACAGGTTGTAGAGGCTCTAGCAGCAGCCTACTTAGACATTTATTCTCATTCTTACTAATTATATTACGCCCCCCCCCCTCTCCCTCCCCCTCTTTCTCTGTCTCTCTCTCTCTCCCTCTTCCCCCCCTCTCTCTTCCCCTCTCTATCTCTCCCTCCCCCCTCTATCTCTCTCTTCCCCCCCCCCTCTCTCTCTCTTACATAAAAAACCTATGAAAGTTTCTCAACAGTTACAAGGTAAAGACAAGGCAACATCTCTATCTGCCCCCTACAAACACACATCACAATCATTATTCAAACAGAGACTGAACCAGACCTACACAGTCATGCTTCTGTCTTACTTAGACCTTCTTCTCCTCTTCCTCTGTGTATATTTCCTAATGAGTTTAATTTTTTGTCTAAAGGCTTTTATGATGCTGTAATTCCATCTTTGTTTGGTCTTTTCCTTACTCTGTGTTTACTAATTTGTATTATTTTGGTGTGGGTGTGTGTTTGTAGGCGGAAAGGGTGGAGGGGGAGGGGGGGTCTCTCTGTGGCAGCTGGTACCAGGGCATTCTTGTCAGATGGCCAATCCATCTCATACAGTGCTCTTTCATGAATTGTATGACATGCATTAACACAAACCCAGAGACAAGACATACAAGACACATAACACAAGTACAACACAACACTGGATATTTCAACAGGAAACCACACAGTCAACAATGCACAGACAAACTCACAGTATCTTCAGAAGGCTCTGGGATGTGCCAGTGACATTTAAAAGTCTCCCCCAAGATTGGGTTGTAGGGTTTCTTGGCTATTTCACTGGGCCGGCCAGCATGAAAGGCACTCAGATACCATCGCAACACCTGCACCATGCGCTCTTTGGGGGTAGGCATATCTGCAATTCTACAAGTCAAATATTCATCTTTAGTTTAGCACTAAGACTGCAGTACTTACACACTTCTTCTTCTGCTTCAGCACTGTGGGCCCTTCAGATTCACTGCTGCAGATATCACCTGCCTCCTCTCATCTTTCTGGCTGGCCTTTTTCTAGCTGGTACCACCAAGAATTTGTAAATGTTTGCCTGGATGCTATCTATTGTAAGTGTTTGCCTGGATGCTATCTATTGTAAGTGTTTGCCTGGATGCTATCTATTGTAAGTGTTTGTCTGGATGCTATCTATTCATGGTCTACCTTATGGTACACAACCAGTCAATTGCCTTGGGTACACAGTTTTTACCTCTCTGTCATCTGACGACATTTTCCCAAGATGCCCCAGCCAATCCTGTCTATTAGCCCTCATGAGGCCAGTGATCAACGGTGATTCAAACAGATTATGAATTTTATTACTGCTATTCACTCTCCATTTCTCACTGTCTGCATCTTTGATGGGATTTATGCACTGCATCTTTGATGGGATTCATGCACTGAATCTTTGATGGGATTCATGCACTGCATCTTTGATGGGATTCATGCACTGCATCTTTAATGGGATTCATGCACTGCATCTTTGATGGGATTTATGCACCGCATCTTTGATGGGATTCATGCACTACATCTTTGATGGGATTCATGCACCGCCATCTTTGATGGGATTCATGCACTGCATCTTTGATGGGATTCATGCACTGCATCTTTGATGGGATTCATGCACTGCATCTTTGATGGGATTCATGCACTGCATCTTTGATGGGATTCATGCACTGCATCTTTGATGGGATTCATGCACCATACGATAATTAAATAATCAGACCGGTTTTATCATGGTTCAGATTAAAATGTCATCAAGAAGGAAAGCAGGTCACCCCCAAAAAAAAAAACATTCACCCATGATCTGACAAAACTGCAATACCATCCAGTCAGCAGAGGACGAGTATTCTGCCATTTCTGTTAAGCTAGTAAGAGGTGCCTAGCTACATATGCATCATGGAGCAACAGAAAACATTAAACTCAGGAAAAAGGCTATTGAGATAGCTGAATTGATGAAACAAGTTTATGGGTGTACAGATGCTATAAATAGGTATAATGTAAGAGGTTGACTGATTGACAGAACTGATGGAGTCCCTAGAGTGACAGACATGAAGTTATTGTCGAAATGGTAAAACACGGGATTGTTGAACTCACACGTGAACAGGCGGTCTGGGGAAATCCCCGACTATGACAAGACTCCAGAGAGTTCGGAGTGAAAGTGGATCCTGAGTGAAACCAAGTGAACGTTGATCCTGAATGGTTATGAAGTGGTTGTAATAAGGCCATGTTGAAGTATATCTGAGGACAATGGAAGTGTCCTACTGACTTTTGATTGTGTTGACCGTGTGCAGGTCAGCGTCGACCGCGGCGTGGCTGTATACTTAAAAGTATGAGCAAGTGAACTTTGTCTGAATGGCGTAAGTGAGGTTGTAATGTTGATTCCTATCACTTATATGATATTGAATAAACCTGGAACTGAGGATAACCATCGCTGACTGTCATTTAAAGAAGTGTGGTAGTTTGTTGGAAAAGAGGTCTGCCTCGTCTAATCTGTGGATAGACAATGATTGTGTACGAGTGAAAGTAAATATGAGCAAGACCCAACACAATCGGAGAGACACTCCTCTACAACAGGGATCAGTATTTACCTTGTGTGTGTTGGGGTAGACTTTGTGATACAAAAACTGGTGTGGAATTGAGGGCGATGACATTTTGCTGGGATGTCCAACTTCTATTGGTGACAATGAACACACTGATAAAATCAGGAGAATGGACACATAAAGACTGATGTGTGACTGAGAGGATGAGGATAAATGAGTCTGATGTTACCCAAGAGATGACCAGTAAAGCTGTAGTGGAAGATAAAGCAAAAAGAAATCAGCTGCTTCCAAGTTTGTGCCACATTAATGGGTTATGTTTCTTATCTTGTTCTACCTTATGCATGCATGGAGACATGTGTGTGTGATATATGGCAGGAGACTGAAGCACTTTTGAAATTCTCATCTTCAACGACAGTGATCACTACAAGCCAATGAAACCAGTGGAGATGGTCAAATAAACACCTACTTGCAGAAGGCGTCTGGATGAGCAAAGAAGTCTGCAAACATCTCCAGCAGTGATCGCCTCTCTAATATAAAGGTGGGCAGCACAACTTTGGTGAGATCCATGCCGATGCGTACTTGAGACAACAGGTGGCCGATGACGCTCCCATGCTGCTCCATAGAACCTACTATATGAACACAGTCAAGATAACACAGAAAGTATTTGAAGAAGGTATAGACATCACAGAAATGCTATCTCAACATTTTACAGATCACAACAGATGGCTAATATACAATAGTTGAACATAACAAGTACGGCTCTGAGAAACTATCTCACTACATTAAAGATAACACAGAAAGTATCTGAAGAAGGTAAGGACTACTCAGAAATGTTTCAAAAACGACTACTGGTCAAATATGACAGACTGTCTGGTCAAATATGACAGACTGTCTGGTCAAATATAACACACTGTCAGTTTATTGCTGATGCTTTATAAAGTTGTTTTTTTCCTTTTTCTAATATGTTAATGATTGAGTTAAAATATCAGGTTACAAGTCAGTTGTGTATCCTTGCAGAAAACCAAGTCAGTTGTGTATCCTTGCAGATAACCAAGTCAGTTGTGTATCCTTGCAGATAACCAAGTCAGTTGTGTATCCTTGCAGATAACCAAGTCAGTTGTGTATCCTTGCAGATAACCAAGTCAGTTAGCTAGTTTCTGAGATTTACATTAATCATAAGGTCCATTTTTCTCATCAATGTGTCCGCCGTAAAAGATAGTCTCTTTGTTGATTCTCAGCCAGAGAGTGACAACAGTCTTGTTGTTATCAATGATAATGTCAGTGCCAAACCTACTTCCCATAATATCATCAATCAGCAAGTCCTTTACAGAACATCACTTTGTTCACGGCACATAATATCATCAATCAGCAAGTCCTTTACAGAACATCACTTTGTTCATGGCCCATAATATCATCAGTCAGCAAGTCCTTTACAGAACATCACTTTGTTCATGGCCCATAATATCATCAGTCAGCAAGTCCTTTACAGAACGTCACTTTGTTCACGGCACATAATATCATCAGTCAGCAAGTCCTTTTCACTTGTTCACGCACATAAATCAGTCAGCAAGTCCTTTACAGAACATCACTTTGTTCACGGCACATAATATCATCAGTCAGCAAGTCCTTTACAGAACATCACTTTGTTCATGGCACATAATATCATCAGTCAGCAAGTCCTTTACAGAACATCACTTTGTTCATGGCCCATAATATCATCAGTCAGCAAGTCCTTTACAGAAGGCCGTTTTGTTCATGGCCCATAATATCATCAGTCAGCAAATCCTTTATAGAACATCACTTTGTTCACGGCACATAATATCATCAGGCAGCAAGTCCTTTACAGAACATCACTTTGTTCATGGCACTTAATATAGGCGAGGAAAAAGATTACAATTGAGCAAAATATTTCAGCTGGACAATCTCTGCTTCGATCAGCTGTGTCAGGAATTCTCATCATGTAAAATTTCATGGTATACAAAAATCAGTCATAAAATACTAAGTATGTAAATGAACTGTTTCAAATAAAGACTAGCTGATGCATAACTGAACAGAGGAAGCATGTCAACTCTTAGAAATGGACAGCAATGTCCTGAACATGTTAAACTGTAAGGTAAGCACAATACTGTTTGTGTAAATAATCTGATGTGTGTCTAACATCTTTGATTGCTGTGGGATATTAATAACTTTGTTTTTGTAGTACTGATACTTAAATATTTCAAATGTATTCTGTATTCATTACTCTTCAATTTGGTATATTATATGACCCTATACAGCCAATACCTTTGTTTTTTTAAGAAAGGTTTTAGCTTTGTAATAGTAAACAAATTCTGCCCAAAATTAAGGCTGTCCAAACCCCAGAGAGAACAAATAAGGTCCTGAAAAAGTTAAACTTTAAACCAACAAAAAAAAATCATGTAAATCATTTTTTTAAAATACAAGATTTTAAAATGTAAATAAAATATCCAATGATTTAATTAAAATGTTAAAAGTTTGTCCCCCCCCCCACCCCCCCCCCCCCCAACTCAAAAAAATTTTTTTTAAACTATTGTCCCCCCAGCATTGTTAAACTGTCACCCCCCCCCCCCCCCCCCCAACACAATAATGTTTGTGTAAACAAAATAATAAGATCAAAGATAATAGATTTTTAATTAATGTCACCTTGTGTTTTGTAGTACACATAATTAAGATTATTTTTTTACAATTTAGTTTCAATTATATTTTTTTTGGGTATATTTGTATTTTTTTTTTGTTAGGAACTATTTGCCTTTTATGATTTTAAGTTAACATATTTAAGATTGTATAGAACCAATTCTATGATAAGTTAAAGCTGTTCAAAAGATAACCTAAATTTAATTTTTAAAATTTAAACTTAGAACCATGGATTTAAGCAAAATATAAATTTTTTTACTGTAAATTTTAGCCAATATTTTTTTTAAAAATCGATTTGTGTTTTTTCTTTTTTTCTTTTTTTTTGGTTTTATTTGCTGGGTTTTTTTTTGTTTTTTTAGTTTTTTTTTTTTTTTTTTTTTTTTTTTTTTGAAATTTTTTTCTTTTTTTTTGTAATTTTTTTGTTTTTTACAGCCAATTTTTTTTTTTTTTTTTTTGATTTTTTTTTTTTTAATTTTTTTATGATTTTTTTAACATTTAAGATTAGAACAATTGAATTTTGTTTCAAATATTAATTTTTTTTTTTATGAGAATGATTATGTTGATGTAATTAGAGATATTTGAATAAAATTAAACTATTTGCCTAACATTTATGTGAATGACAGAAGAAAACAACTTTTGAACAATTACTAATATGATTTAGTTAACATTTAAGATTAGAAAAATGATTTAGTTCAAATATAATATTTTTTACTGATAGAGATATTTGATAAAATTAAACTATTTGCCTTTTATTATTGAAGTAAAAATAAACAGATACATGAGAATGATCTATGTGAAGACAGAAGAAAACAACAATGATAACGCATTACTCACAGTCTTCATTATCCCGTGTGTCATACAGTTCTGTGAGACATATATAACAGAATTCAACAGTTACAACAACTATAGAGACAAGAATTTAAATCATGTGGACACATAAAATACACTAAACAATTTATTGCCTGGCATATTTTGCTATATCTTATCAGTCAATTACTGAAACTTGCAGAAGCTGTGACAATAAACATGAACAGTCCTGCTCTGTGCAAACAAAAGGAGCAACTGCTAAATGTCACATTTCTGTGGTAAACATGTGACTATCCTGAATTCCCTTGATGTTTGTTTGTTTTAGTATCCAGAAGCCATGAGTTATTAACCCTTAGGTTCGGTATTATGGATATCGTAACCTTTCCGCCTTGATTCCATTGTAAAAACTGTAAATCTGGGAGAAAATGTGGCTTTTCTGCCCACCCCTGGGATTGAACCCGGACCACAAGGAGTTCGTCACCCGCTCACCGAGCAATCCGGTTTAGCCAACTACGCTAGAGAGACGGACGAATTCCCTTGATAGGATGTACAGTGTGACTAGAGAGCCGGGCGAATTCCCTTGATAGGATGTACAGTGTGACTAGAGAGACGGGCAAATTCCCTTGATAGGATGTACAGTGTGACTAGAGAGACGGGCGAATTCCCTTGATAGGATGTACAGTGTGACTAGAGAGCCGGGCGAATTCCCTTGATAGGATGTACAGTGTGACTAGAGAGACGGGCGAATTCCCTTGATAGGATGTACAGTGTGACTAGAGAGACGGGCGAATTCCCTTGATAGGATGTACATGTACATGTACAGTGTGACTAGAGAAGACAATGTGTTTTGTGTATTTCAGTGTAAAGGATTAATGTTTGTGCTTGATGATGATGATGATGTCATCCTGCAGTAACACATCTGACGCCATACAATGAAATATGCCAGGCAATCAATAGCACAAAGTATTGTTTGTGCCCACATTATTTAAATGATGAGATGAGCTCTTCTGCCTTTCATTTATCTGTGCATTTCAGAATTCCAGATGCGACTCACTGCAGCCACAGTCGGTGTTCGACTGTTACATAACTTTCCCACCCCTTGATAATCAAAGGGTTATGGACCTGAGCTCTAGTCATCTCGGACAAGGGACAACAACTCCGAGAATCCTTCAGCAAATTGAGCAAGTTACAAATCCCTCAGTAGCTGGAACTGGAAAACAGCAGGCTGCTACCCAGCCTCGGTTTCAATTTAGGAAACAGACTTCTACTTCTTTGTCTCCTTCACTGCCTCTTGAACAGAGGGAGGTTTTAGGTTTTGGCTCTTGCTCTTCTCACCAGCCCAGCCACAGATATTGTGTACAGTTGCAGTACAGTTTCTCAGATGTCACCTTTCCATTTTGTTCTTGGTTACACCTTGCTCTATGTCCCTCTCCTTTTGTGGTGTGTGTCTTGTTCGGTATGGTGGCTAAGACATTCTCAGTAAGTCAGCAAACTGTTTGATCTGCTGTCATTGTGTGTGATTTAGAAATGGTACTGTGCCAACTTATCTCATATGACTTCCCTACTATTGTATCTCTTCTGGTAACTCCTGCAGCTCTCCTTAGACATTTCATTTGCAATTTACTAATTTTCTTTTCTGATTTGTTGTGAGTGACCAATTATGGCACTAGTAGTAATATACAGTTTGTATGCTTTGTATGAGCCGTTTAATCAGTCCATTTAAACCTCAATGTATTCTTTGTAGCAATAATAAATCCATGGTAGCTTGGCATGCCTGTCATAACTTCACCATGTTTTTGAGTGACCCAGGATGGCCTTCATGCCTAGAATAGCACCCTGTGGCACAAGGTGACACCATACTTTGCTCAATCCTAGCAATCCCTAGCTTGTCCCATTGATCACCTCATCTGGCCTGGGAGTGGGGTTGGGCAGGCAACTTTCAAACAATCATATTTGTATCCTGTGTGATTCTGGCATACAAACATTTACATAATCATTTGCTACAGTATGCCTGCACCCAGCTGAATTTCTCTTCATGTGATCTGAGGGAGGAAACTGGAGCACTTATGAAGATTTCACTGGACAATAATGGTGATTCTTTACACACACACACACGCATGCACACGCACACACACAAACAACCAATCCTGCCTACCCAATCACCAGGTGCAGGTGCAAAAGGGTTGTTGGTCAGCAATAGTTGACTGATTCTGCCCCAAGCAGTCAACCCATGGATCAGAGACTGTCATGGCCTGCTGTCCTACATCTTCAGTCGCATGCAAGGATATCAACAAAACCAGGGACTACAAGACAGATACAAGATAAAATATTCGGCTATCCTCCTACTAACGGTCGGCAAAGATGGCGGCTGCAAAATATCCTTTCAAGCCAGTCGCGTGACTTAGTTTGCGGTTCTCCGACTATCGCCACCGCCACGTGTCTCCCACGCCGTGGAATGGGGCTAAACTAGATGGCTAGTACCCACGAGCAGCAGTCGCAGTGTGCTCGTGACCGCTAGTGCACAATTGACACACGAATGTGACTCGAAAGGATATTTTGCGACCGCCATCTTTGCCGACCGTTAGTCGGAGGATAGCCAAATATTCTGCAAGTACCAACCATCAAAATAGTCTTCCTCAGCAGAAATGATAGCGGCTGGTAGGTTCTCAGCTGGGTTGTCTTCACCTCCATGTTTGCCAGGTTCGGATCTGGACATCCCTTCACAAGGTAGGTTGGGGTTTCTCATAGCAGATGTAATCAGCAGATTAGGTTCTCTGTATGTTGATATCAGATTAAAGAATTTATATTTAGCAGAGTGCCCCCCCCCCCCCACCCCTTTTGTTCTTTTGCATGGAGATATTTCTTCCTCTACTCAAGACTTTTTTTATTCATCTATCCAGGATTGTTGCCTTCTTCCACCCAGGGATACTTCATTCTCCTTCCACCCAAGGATGTTTTTTTCTCATTTAACCCAGGGATATTTCATTCTCCTTCCACCAGGGATGTTTTTTTCTCATTTAACCCAGGGATATTTCATTCTCCTTCCACCCAGGGGTATTTAATTTTCCCTATACCTGTATATGTTTCTGTTTCCTTTTCCCTGTAGATGGTACTTTCACCTCTAACCAGGGGTGTTTAATTTTCCCTCCACCTGGAGATGTTTCTGTTTCCTTTTCCCTGCAGATGGTACTTTCACCTCTAACCAGGGATGTTTCATTCTTCTTCTCAGGAAATGCTCAGGTTTTCCCATATCTTCAGATGCGCCAACAGTAGCTGTACTGTCTTCTGAAGCAAGTAACAAGTTCTGAGAATCAACTTCTTTCAAAACATTTTCATTACACTGTTTATATGTCAGTGTTTCAAAGCTGCAATCAATGCAGATACAAGTGTTATTACAATATTGTCAAAGTGTTTCAGTGTATGTCAACAGGCTAGATCTGTCACAACAATAGAATGACCCCATCAGGACTTAGAAGCTCCTCCAGAGTGACACACTAAATGCTGTTTGTTGGTACCTGATCTGTCGTTGCAGACAGCAGTGTTACATTGTGTTACATGGAGGCATGGATACCGCCCACAGAGATGGCAAATTGGTTCCCTAGACTAATTCATGCCAGGGATAAGATTTCTCTTCTTCACAGCACAAAGCCTGTGCAGTATGGAAGAGACTGTGTGTTGCCCATGCAACAGGATGCATCTTTCAGCCTACCTTGTTTACTTCAAAGAAAAGGTAGCACCAATACACTTGGAACAAATATGCTACAGAAGCAGCTAGAGCAGAAGTTCAGTGTCTCTCTGCCAAAATTGCCAGTGTAAAAGAATGCCAATGGGTGGGAGGACCTTATATATTGTGTCAGCAACTCTGTTTTCATTCCCAGTCTGCTAAGAACCTGCAAGCTCTTCGAGAGGGGGAGGGGGGGGGAGAAAGGGGAGGGGGAGGGGGTGCTTTGTGGTGAAGTGGTCAAGTTGTCTGTTGAAAGTCATTTGGTTCTTGAATGCAATTATTACATAAATTCCTAGGGATCATCGCTTCAGCTACAGACAATATGAGAGCTGCCTCCAGATCATCAGAGGACAGACAAGGTGTGAGTTGCCTCCAGTCCATCAGAGGACAGACAAGATGAGAGTTGCCTCCAGATCATCAGAGGACAGACAAGATGAGAGTTGCTTCCAGTCCATCACAGGACAGACAAGATGTGAGTTGCCTCCAGTCCATCACAGGACAGACAAGATGTGAGTTGCCTCCAGTCCATCAGAGGACAGGCAAGATGTGAGTTGCCTCCAGTCCATTAAAGGACAGACAAGATGTGAGTTGCCTCCAGTCCATTAAAGGACAGACAAGATGTGAGTTGCTTCCAGATCATCAGAGGACAGACAAGATGAGAGTTGCCTCCAGATCATCAGAGGACAGACAAGATGTGAGTTGCCTCCAGTCCATCACAGGACAGACAAGATGTGAGTTGCCTCCAGTCCATTAAAGGACAGACAAGATGAGAGTTGCCTCCAGTCCATTAAAGGACAGACAAGATGTGAGTTGCCTCCAGTCCATTAAAGGACAGACAAGATGTGAGTTGCCTCCAGTCCATTAAAGGACAGACAAGATGTGAGTTGCCTCCAGTCCATCACAGGACAGACAAGATGTGAGTTGCCTCCAGTCCATTAAAGGACAGACAAGATGTGAGTTGCCTACAGTCCATCACAGGACAGACAAGATGTGAGTTGCCTCCAGTCCATCACAGGACAGACAAGATGTGAGTTGCCTCCAGTCCATCACAGGACAGACAAGATGTGAGTTGCCTCCAGTCCATCACAGGACAGACAAGATGTGAGTTGCCTCCAGTCCATCACAGGACAGACAAGATGTGAGTTGCCTACAGTCCATCACAGGACAGACAAGATGTGAGTTGCCTACAGTCCATCAGAGGACAGACAAGGTGTGAGTTGCCTCCAGTCCATCAGAGGACAGACAAGATGTGAGTTGCCTCCAGTCCATTAAAGGACAGACAAGATGTGAGTTGCCTACAGTCCATCACAGGACAGACAAGATGTGAGTTGCCTACAGTCCATCACAGGACAGACAAGATATGAGTTGCCTCCAGTCCATCACAGGACAGACAAGATGTGAGTTGCCTACAGTCCATCACAGGACAGACAAGATGTGAGTTGCCTACAGTCCATCAAAGACACACAAGATGTGAGTTGCCTCCAGTCCATCACAGGACAGACAAGATGTGAGTTGCCTCCAGTCCATCACAGGACAGACAAGATGTGAGTTGCCTCCAGTCCATCACAGGACAGACAAGATGTGAGTTGCCTACAGTCCATCAAAGACACACAAGATGTGAGTTGCCTCCAGTCCATCACAGGACAGACAAGATGTGAGTTGCCTACAGTCCATCATAGGACAGACAAGATGTGAGTTGCCTACAGTCCATCACAGGACAGACAAGATGTGAGTTGCCTACAGTCCATCACAGGACAGACAAGATGTGAGTTGCCTACAGTCCATCAAAGACACACAAGATGTGAGTTGCCTCCAGTCCATCAGAGGACAGACAAGATGTGAGTTGCCTCCAGTCCATCAGAGGACAGACAAGATGTGAGTTGTCAGTCATCACAGGACAGACAAGATGTGAGTTGCCTACAGTCCATCAAAGACACACAAGATGTGAGTTGCCTCCAGTCCATCACAGGACAGACAAGATGTGAGTTGCCTACAGTCCATCACAGGACAGACAAGATGTGAGTTGCCTACAGTCCATCAAAGACACACAAGATGTGAGTTGCCTACAGTCCATCAAAGACACACAAGATGTGAGTTGCTTCCAGTCCATCACAGGACAGACAAGATGTGAGCTGCCTCCAGATCATCAGAGGACAGACAAGATGTGAGTTGCCTCCAGTCCATCAGAGGACAGACAAGATGTGAGTTGCTTCCAGTCCATCACAGAACAGACAAGATGTGAGTTGCCTCCAGTCCATCAGAGGACAGACAAGATGTGAGTTGCTTCCAGTCCATCACAGGACAGACAAGATGTGAGCTGCCTCCAGTCCATCAAAGGACAGACAAGATGTGAGCTGCCTCCAGTCCATCAAAGGACAGACAAGATGTGAGCTGCCTCCAGATCATCAGAGGACAGACAAGATGTGAGTTGCCTAAAGTCCATCAGAGGACAGACAAGATGAGAGCTGCCTCCAGTCCATCAAAGGACAGACAAGATGTGAGCTGCCTCCAGTCCATCAGAGGACAGACAAGATGTGAGTTTGCCTAAAGTCCATCAGAGGACAGACAAGATGTGAGTTGCCTCCAGTCCATCAAAGGACAGACAAGATGTGAGCTGCCTCCAGATCATCAGAGGACAGACAAGATGTGAGTTGCTTCCAGTCCATCAGAGGACAGACAAGATGTGAGGTGCCTTACTTTGGTGACTTCTGGTCCTCGGCATCATAGAACTCTTCATCTTCACTGGAGGAGTATGATGTCACAGGGACTGTCTCATCAGCAGGGGTGGGAGAACTATCATCTGTGCACAGGCAAGAAACAATTTGTTAGCACTCATACGAGGAATCACAGGACACAACAACAATCACATACAGAGGTTCTAATGGACAGGGAATCAACACAGCTGCTGAGGGAAATTAACAAGTGACAATGGACATTTTCTGGACAAATTAAAAGATACAGCACTCTTTGTAAAACCTCTACTGTAGGGAAAAGCTGGAGGCAGGTCAGCAAGAGGAAGACATCAATACAAATGGAAGGATAAGACCAAGAGATTGACAAACAGCAATATGACAGAGTACAAATCCAAGGTGAAAGGCAAGAGTTCCACTGTAGAGATGACACTTGATTGAATGAGTTAAAGAATACTCACACAGTGAGATGTGACAACCTTCAACTAGAGATGAAACACTGTGAGATGTGACAACCTTCGACTAGAGATGAAACACTGTGAGATGTGACAACCTTCGACTAGAGATGAAACACTGTGAGATGTGACAACCTTCAACTAGAGATGAAACACTGTGAGATGTGACAACCTTCAACTAGAGATGAAACACTGTGAGATGTGACAACCTTCAACTAGAGATGAAACACTGTGAGATGTGACAACCTTCAACTAGAGATAAAACACTGTGAGATGTGACAACCTTCAACTAGAGATGAAACACTGTGAGAACACTGTAGTGATGAAACACTGTGAGATGTAGCAACCTTCAACTAGAGATGAAACACTGTGAGATGTGACAACCTTCAACTAGAGATGAAACACTGTGAGATGTGACAACCTTCAACTAGAGATGAAACACTGTGAGATGTGACAACCTTCAACTAGAGATGAAACACTGTGAGATGTAGCAACCTTCGACTAGAGATGAAACACTGTGAGATGTGACAACCTTCAACTAGAGATGAAACACTGTGAGATGTGACAACCTTCAACTAGAGATGAAACACTGTGAGATGTGACAACCTTCAACTAGAGATGAAACACTGTGAGATGTGATAACCTTCAACTAGAGATAAAACACTGTGAGATGTGACAACCTTCAACTAGAGATGAAACACTGTGAGATGTAGCAACATTCAACTAGAGATGAAATACTGTGAGATGTGACAACCTTCGACACGAGAGTGAAACACAAGCAACATTCAACTAGAGATGAAATACTGTGAGATGTGACAACCTTCGACTAGAGATGAAACACTGTGAGATGTGGCAACCTTCAACTAGAGATAAAACACTGTGAGATGTAGCAACCTTCAACTAGAGATAAAACACTGTGAGATGTGACAACCTTCAACTAGAGATGAAACACTGTGAGATGTGACAACCTTCAACTAGAGATAAAACACTGTGAGATGTGACAACCTTCAACTAGAGATGAAACACTGTGAGATGTAGCAACATTCAACTAGAGATGAAATACTGTGAGATGTGACAACCTTCGACTAGAGATGAAACACGACTAGAGATGAAAAAACACTGTGAGATGTAGCAACCTTCGACTAGAGATGAAACACTGTGAGATGAGATATGTGACAACCTAAATAGAAACACTGTGAGACTAGACCTTCAACTAGAGATTAAAACACTGTGAGATGTGACAACCTTCAACTAGAGATAAAACACTGTGAGATGTGAGCAACCTTCAACTAGAGAGAAAAACACTGTGATGTGAAACCTTCAACTAGAGATGAAACACTGTGAGATGTGACAACCTTCAACTAGAGATGAAACACTGTGAGATGTGACAACCTTCAACTAGAGATGAAACACTGTGAGATGTAGCAACCTTCAACTAGAGATAAAACACTATGAGATGTAGCAACCTTCAACTAGAGATAAATAAAACACTGTGAGATGTGACAACCTTCAACTAGAGATGAAACACAGTGAGATGTGACAACCTTCAACTAGAGATGAAACACTGTGAGATGTGACAACCTTCAACTAGAGATAAAACACTGTGAGATGTAGCAACCTTCGACTAGAGATGAAACACTGTGAGATGTGACAACCTTCAACTAGAGATAAAACACTGTGAGATGTAGCAACCTTCAACTAGAGATAAAACACTGTGAGATGTAGCAACCTTCAACTAGAGATAAAACACTGTGAGATGTAGCAACCTTCAACTAGAGATAAAACACTGTGAGATGTAGTAACCTTCAACTAAAAATGTATTAATATGGTCTTCTTCTTCTTTTGTTGTTGTAATTCTTCCCATCAGAGAAGGCCACAGGCCTCTGTGAAGTTTGTGGTGTGACACATGTCCTTCACTTTTCCAGACACCTTGGTTTCCATTGCAATACCAACGCCTGCCTGACCTGGGATCGCTCTATTGCATGAAGACAGCATGTCTGTAGGCACAACTTCAATATTATGTGGTGTCTGTCCACATGTAGACAGCATGTCTGTAGCACACCTGCAATATTCTGTGATGTCTGTTCACATGTAGACAGCATGTCTGTAGCACACCTTCAATATTCTGTGGTGTCTGTCCACATGTAGACAGCATGTCTGTAGCACACCTTCAATATTCTGTGGTGTCTGTCCACATGGGCAACAATCTGAATCCCCAATCTTTAATTTCATGTACATATGACTGTATGTTGCGTCAGGTATGCAATCTAAATACAATGGCTTGATTCTTCTGTGTGTACACATCTGACCATATATCAGACACAATAGCCTTCTTTGATTCCTTGAGCCAGCTGATCATATCTGGTGGCATGATCACCCTAGGGGATTTGTGAAACAAATTTAAAGGGTGCATGCTATCATTTACAAACAATTTCGCCTTAGAATACAATCATTTCTACAATTCTTACATTCACCAATTATAATCAGTTCTTTTGTATGACTATGAAAAAGTATGCAGCCCATGGCAAACCTTCACTTAAAAGGATGCACAGGTCATGGCTGTCTTAACCTGCTGATAGTGGGTCAGGATGCACAGGTTTTGGCTGTCTTAACCTGCTGGCAGTTGGTCAGGGTGCACAGGTCTTGGCTGTCTTAACCTGCTGGCAGTGGGTCAGGATGCACAGGTTTTGGCTGTCTAAACCTGCTGGCAGTTGGTCAGGATGCACAGGTCTTGGCTGTCTTAACCTGCTATCAGTGGGTCAGGATGCACAGGTCTTGGCTGTCTTAACCTGCTGGCAGTTGGTCAGGATGCACAGGTCTTGGCTGTCTTAACCTGCTATCAGTGGGTCAGGATGCACAGGTCTTGGCTGTCTTAACCTGCTGGCAGTGGGTCAGGATGCACAGGTCTTGGCTGTCTTAACCTGCTATCAGTGGGTCAGGATGCACAGGTCTTGGCTGTCTTAACCTGCTGGCAGTTGGTCAGGATGCACAGGTCTTGGCTGTCTTAACCTGCTATCAGTGGGTCAGGATGCACAGGTCTTGGCTGTCTTAACCTGCTGGCAGTGGGTCAGGATGCACAGGTCTTGGCTGTCTTAACCTGCTGGCAGTCGGTCAGGATGCACTCACAGACAGGCCACACAGTCTAGAACTAACTGTCAGACCAGCCATGACCTTGGAACATAACTCCACATTGATGTATGTCCACAGTTTGGCTACCCAGTTTGATGAATGTTCAAACAACCACCAGGTCACTCCACAGTGATGTCTGTCCACAGATTGGCTACCCAGTTTGATGAATGTCCAAACAACCACCAGGTCACTCCACAGTGATGACTGTCCACAGTTTGGCTACCCAGTTTGATGAATGTCCAAACAACCACCAGGTCACTCCACAGTGATGACTGTCCACAGTTTGGCTACCCAGTTTAATGAATGTCCAAACAACCACCAGGTCACTCCACAGTGATGACTGTCCACAGATTGGCTACCCAGTTTAATGAATGTCCAAACAACCACCAGGCCACTCCACAGTGATGACTGTCCACAGTTTGGCTACCCAGTTTAATGAATGTCCAAACAACCACCAGGTCACTCCACAGTGATGACTGTCCACAGATTGGCTACCCAGTTTAATGAATGTCCAAACAACCACCAGGTCACTCCACAGTGATGACTGTCCACAGTTTGGCTACCCAGTTTAATGAATGTCCAAACAACCACCAGGTCACTCCACAGTGATGACTGTCCACAGATTGGCTACCCAGTTTAATGAATGTCCAAACAACCCACCAGGTCACTCCACAGTGATGACTGTCCACAGTTTGGCTACCCAGTTTAATGAATGTCCAAACAACCACCAGGTCACTCCACAGTGATGACTGTCCACAGATTGGCTACCCAGTTTAATGAATGTCCAAACAACCACCAGGTCACTCCACAGTGATGACTGTCCACAGATTGGCTACCCAGTTTGATGAATGTCCAAACAACCACCAGGTCACTCCACAGTGATGACTGTCCACAGTTTGGCTACCCAGTTTGATGAATGTCCAAACAACCACCAGGTCACTCCACAGTGATGACTGTCCACAGATTGGCTACCCAGTTTAATGAATGTCCAAACAACCACCAGGTCACTCCACAGTGATGACTGTCCACAGATTGGCTACCCAGTTTGATGAATGTCCAAACAACCACCAGGTCACTCCACAGTGATGACTGTCCACAGTTTGGCTACCCAGTTTGATGAATGTCCAAACAACCACCAGGTCACTCCACAGTGATGTCTGTCCACAGTTTGGCTACCCAGTTTAATGAATGTCCAAACAACCACCAGGTCACTCCACAGTGATGTCTGTCCACAGTTTGGCTACCCAGTTTAATGAATGTCCAAACAACCACCAGGTCACTCCACAGTGATGTCTGTCCACAGTTTGGTTACCCAGTTTAATGAATGTCCAAACAACCACCAGGTCACTCCACAGTGATGTCTGTCCACAGTTTGGCTACCCAGTTTGATGAATGTCCAAACAACCACCAGGTCACTCCACAGTGATGTCTGTCCACAGTTTGGCTACCCAGTTTGATGAATGTCCAAACAACCACTAGGTCACTCCACAGTGATGTCTGTCCACAGTTTGGCTACCAAGTCTGATTAATGTCCAAAAAACCACAAGGCCTCTCCACAGATGTGAGGTGTCAGTCTTGCACAAGAATACATAACCAACCATTCATTATCTAACCACAAGGTGATTTTTTTATATTCTCAATGTGTTCATAACTAACTTGCAAACATGAAAAAGAGTTTTGACTTCAGAAAAACTTAACTAGCTGGCATGTCTTGATGGATTCAACTTTTAAGGGGAAAAAATATTAATGCACACAAAAATGAACAAACAAAACACCAAAACCCAAAAAATCAGTGACACCAAAAACATGTCAAAATTAAACTTTGGTGAAACAAAAATGTGAAATCAAAAGTCTGGCTATGTTGTATTTACGCCACATCTCTTACATGAAGCTCCACACTGGTTGTTGGCATTCTCTGCAAAATTATTGTTTCGTTTATAACTCTGCAACGGAGACAACAAAACATACACGACTCTGCAACAAAGACAACAAAACACACACAACTCTGCAACAAAGACAACAAAACACACACAACTCTGCAACAAACATCACACAAACATACACAAATCTGCAGCACACCACACAAACACACACAACTCTGCACCAAAGACCACACAAACACACACAACTCTGTAACACACCACACAAACATACACAATTTGTGAAGCAAACACCACACAAACACACAATTTGTGAAGCACACACCACACAAACACACAATTTGTGAAGCCCACACCACACAAACCCACAACTCTGCAACAAAGACACAAAACACACTAACTCAGCAACAAAGACAACAAAACACACACAACTCTGCAACAAAGACAACAAAACACACACAACTCTGCAACAGAGACCACACAAACACACACAACTTTGCAACAAAGACCAAACAAACACACACTACACAAACACACACTGACACAAACCTCCTCATGTCCCACCCCGGTTCCCCGCCTAACCAAAAAGAAACACATGCAAGCACACATAAAATCTTTAGGAGAAAACCCAACATTGTCTAGTGCTGAAGTATTGGAGTGCAACAGCTGGGACAGCTATGTTCCTACTACAAGACACGATAACTGCAATTCAAATAGGGGTTAAATTTAAGACCTGAGACTGTGGGTATTACAAACACATACACAGAGAAGAAGACACAAATGTATGTGCAGCTTGTGTTCAATATAGCAGAGATGTCTTCATGGAGAACTTAGTGCAACAGCTGCCAGGTTATTTCACTCTCTGTTATTTATTTATATTCATCATTTTGTGGAAACATCACAGGGCCAAAGTAGCAAGATGCGGGCAATAGGAGAGGTCATATTATCAGCCAGATGGGGTTTTATAACTAATGGGTGGGTTAATTGCACACATGGATGAGTGGGTTCATTATAAAAGATGGGTGGATTATTTATAAAAGATGAATGGGTTTATTATAACAGATTAGTGAATTATTTATAAACGATGGTTCAATTTATTATAAGAGATGGGTGGATTGTTTATAAAAAAATGTGTGTGTTTAATCTAATAGATGGGAAAGTTAATTATAACAGATGAGGGATTTATTATAACTAACGGGTAGATAACTTATAACAAATGGGTGAGTTGTCTACAACAGATGGCTGGGTTAATTATAAAGAATGGGTGGGTTACTTGAAACAGATGGGTGGGTTGATTATAATAGATGGGTGAGTTACTTGTAAAAGACTGGTGGATTAATTATAATATATGGGAGGGTTAATTATAATAGATGGGAGGGTTAACTCTAACAAATGGGTGGGTTAATTATGATAGATGGAGGGGGTTAATTATAATAGATGGGAGGGTTAATTCTAACAAATGGGTGGGTTAATTGTAATAGATGGTAGGGTTAACTCTAACAAATGGGTGGGTTAATTATAATAGATGGGAGGGTTAATTATAATAGATGGGTGGGTTAATTATAATAGATGGGAGGGTTAATTCTAACAAATTAGTGGGTTAATTATGACGGAAAGGGTTAATTATAACAACTTGGTGGGTTAATTATAATAGATGGGAGGGTTAATTGTACCAAATGGGTGGGTTATTTATAATAAATGGGAAGGGCTAATTATAACAACTGGGATGGTTAATTATAATAGATGGGAGGGTTAATTATAACAAATGGGTGGGTTAATTATAATAGATGGAAAGGGTTAAAGGGGGAGCTGTGCTTGTCCCTAAAAATCAATAATGTATGGAGAAAGTTATAAATGTAGGGTAGATTGTTTCATTCAGATCTGAGTGAAATTTTATTTTCAACAACTGCTTGCTATCTTCTAGCAGAAGTATACAATATCTGAGGCGAAAAAAAGCAGGGAAAAATGAAATTCTTACAGAGACAGATGTGTTCTGATGTAGCCCATATGTGGCCAACAAGCAATAGAATTGCATACATTTTCTTTTGTGGTTAATGTTTCAAAACAAAGGTATGGAAATGTTATGGAAAGTGCATTGAATAGCTCAAACATTGTGTCTAGTAAAAATTGTTTCACTGCAAGTACAGACAACAAATCAGAAAGTGCAACTACTGTGCCTATACTAATGTCTGCTCCACTACAAGTTACAAGCAAAGATTCTTTTAGAAAGTGCAACAATCATACCAACTAATGATGGCTTCACTACAAGCTATAGGCGATAAGCGAGCAAAACATCTGACCAATTGTGCTTCCTAATGTATTTCTGTGCAAGAACTCACAGCCAACAAGCAAGTTCAATATACATTACTGTGCCACAATAAAAGCCTTTGTGAGACATGTAAGAATGAAGCCTGCATAAGAAATACACTGTACAACAATCTAGCCTACATGAAACGTAAGATACAACAATCAAGCCTACATGAGAAATATAAGATACAACAATGAAGCCTACCTAAGACACACAACAATGAAGTCGACATGCAAGATACAACAATGAAGAGCAAGATATTCACACAAAAAAGGCATAAGCAGCCGCAAACAAAGAAGCCGAAGCAAACCAGTGAACATACCAGAGTAGGAGAGATTGGGCAACGAGATGCTGGTCTGGGTGGACAGGTGAACTTTGTCTAGCTGACTGGCCCGACAGACGTTTTCCGTTGACAATGAGGACATAACTGTGAGCACAAGAAGGCAGGAAGCCTGTCAATCCTCAACTGTGTGCATGCTAACAGAAACTCACTACCCCATCAGGATTATCATGAACAGTTCATCCCTTGTACAGATTCTGCAGCTTTAGATCATACAGTCTGTCAGGTAGAGACAGTACCCCATCTTTGCCCCTTTGTCTGTCCTTCACCTGACAATCATGTGGAGGACCTCAACCAACTCATGCCAAGCTCTTAGAAGATGTTTATCATTAGTTGCATTTGAAAGATAATCTGGGAGGTAAAAGTTAGCCAGTGTTGCAGCAATAACTCTTGAAAGCATCTTATGTAGAGAATAGTAGGGTACAATGTTACTTTTCTTTGATATCCACAGTGCCGGAATGTGGTGTACATACTCTCCAGAAATTGATCCATCACTGGTCCTCTCCAGATACAGACCTCTTATGTGTGGCTCCTGAATCAAGAAGTGACATCACTGCACTCAGGACACTTCCTTAAGTGCTTCAGCTCCTTCTTCAGCACCCAACAAAGAGCTGACATACTAACAGTATCAGCTGAAACCTGATTTAAAGTTTGCCTGTTTCTCCTTCAATGTTGAATATCTCCCAGAACCTCTACCCCCCATCCCCCAGTCTCCTAAGGCCTCGGGCAGAAGGTGTTTCCTGTCCATTACTTTAAGGTATATTTTCCCATTACTTTGAGGTATATTTTCCCATTACTTTAAGGTATATTTTCCCCTGCAAAATCTTGAACCATAGGAAAGAAGAGAGTTTGAATGTAGACTACTAACCAGATGATATCACTGGAGAGAAAGAAAGTGAGAGAGAGAAAGAAGAGAGAGACATAGAACATGTTTGTTCCTGTGACCTCAAGCAAACAGTTACAAAAAACTACCTAAGTGGGTTCTAGAGGCCCACTGTGGAGCAGGGGGAAGAGACCCACTGTGGAGCAGGGGGAAGAGACCCACTGAAGCCAGAGCAAGCATTAGGTACAAGATAACTGATTAAATATCTGTTGAAACTGAATGTGTCAACTGCCCTTTCAAAGACGAATGCAGGAAAATAAAAAAGATAATAATAAACCTGTTACCTACCTATGGAACCCATGCCCTCCACTAAGAGATATCAGTATCCTAACCTTTCAGCCACCCACTTCTCAAAAAATATAAATAGGCACACAACAAGTAAAGTAACTCACCCTGACAAGGAGCAGAACTGTAGTGGCTAAAGTTGGCTTCATCTGTCAGGAGGGTGGCGTCATGAAAAGATCCATTCAACAGCAATGGTTGTTTCAGGTTCTCCTGCGGATGTACACACCACCTGTTAACTGATGCCATGATAGCACACACACACACACATGACATGATATCAGCACACACACATGACATGATATCAGCACACACACACACACACACACACATGACATATCAGCACGCACACACACACACATGACATGATATCAGCACACCCACACACACACATGCCCTGATATCAGCACACACACATGCCATGATATCAGCACACACACACACATGACATCAGCATGCACACACACAAACACATGCCATGATATCAGCACACACACACACATGCCATGATACCAGCACACACACACATGCCATAATATCAGCACACACACACATGCCATAATATCAGCACACACACACATGCCATAATATCAGCACACACACACACACATGCCATAATATCAGCACACACACACACACATGCCATGATATCAGCACACACACACATGCCATGATACCAGCACACACACACACACACACACACATGCCATAATATCAGCACACACACACATGCCATAATATCAGCACACACACACATGCCATAATATCAGCACACACACACACACATGCCATGATATCAGCACACACACACACACACACACACATGCCATAATATCAGCACACACACACATGCCATAATATCAGCACACACACACATGCCATAATATCAGCACACACACACACACATGCCATAATATCAGCACACACACACACACATGCCATGATATCAGCACACACACACATGCCATGATACCAGCACACACACACACACACACACACACATGCCATAATATCAGCACACACACACACACACATGCCATAATATCAGCACACACACACATGCCATGATACCAGCACACACACACACATGCCATAATATCAGCACACACACACATGCCATAATATCAGCACACACACACACACACATGCCATAATATCAGCACACACACACATGCCATAATATCAGCACACACACACACATGCCATGATATTAGCACACACACACACATGCCATAATATCAGCACACACACACATGCCATAATATCAGCACACACACACATGCCATAATATCAGCACACACACACACACATGCCATAATATCAGCACACACACACACACATGCCATAATATCAGCACACACACACATGCCATAATATCAGCACACATACACACATGCCATAATATCAGCACACACACACACACATGCCATGATATCAGCACACACACACACACACATGCCATAATATCAGCACACACACACACATGCCATGATATCAGCACACACACACACATGCCATGATATCAGCACACACACACATGCCATGATACCAGCACACACACACACACACACATGCCATAATATCAGCACTACACACACATGCCATAATATCAGCACACACACACACACATGCCATAATATCAGCACACACACACACATGCCATAATATCAGCACACATACACATGCCATAATATCAGCACACACACATGCCATAATATCAGCACACACACATGCCATAATATCAGCACACACACACACACATGCCATAATATCAGCACACACACACACATGCCATAATATCAGCACACATACACATGCCATAATATCAGCACACACACACACATGCCATAATATCAGCACACACACACACATGCCATGATATCAGCACACACACACATGCCATATCAGCACACACACACACACACATGCCATGATATCAGCACACACACACACACACATGTCATGATATCAGCACACACACACATGCCATGATATCAGCACACACACGTGCCACAGAGTATAGACAGACACAAGATCATAGCAGGACCCCTCATACAGTACAGACATCCACAAGACTGTAGCAGGACCCTTCACACAGTATAAACAGACAAAAGACTGCAGCAGGACCCTTCCCACATTACAGACACTGACTGTAGCAGGACCTTTCACACAGTATAGACATCCACAAGACTGTAGCAGGACCCTTCACACAGTATAGACATCCACAAGACTGTAGCAGGATCCCTCACACAGTATAGACATCCACAAGACTGTAGCAGGACCTTTCACACAGTATAGACATCCACAAGAATGTAGCAGGACCCTTCACACAGTACAGACATCCACAAGACTGTAGCAGGACCCCTCACACAGTATAGACATCCACAAGACTGTAGCAGGACCTTTCACACAGTATAGACATCCACAAGACTGTAGCAGGACCCTTCACACAGTACAGACATCCACAAGACTGTAGCAGGACCTTTCACACAGTATAGACATCCACAAGACTGTAGCAGGACCTTTCACACAGTATAGACATCCACAAGACTGTAGCAGGACCCTTCACACAGTATAGACATCCACAAGACTGTAGCAGGACCTTTCACACAGTATAGACATCCACAAGACTGTAGCAGGACCCCTCACACAGTATAGACATCCACAAGACTGTAGCAGGACCTTTCACACAGTATAGACATCCACAAGAATGTAGCAGGACCCCTCACACAGTATAGACATCCACAAGACTGTAGCAGGACCCTTCACACAGTATAGACATCCACAAGACTGTAGCAGGACCTTTCACACAGTATAGACATCCACAAGACTGAAGCAGGACCCCTCACACAGTATAGACATCCACAAGACTGTAGCAGGACCTTTTACACAGTATAGACAGACACAAGACTATAGTAGGATCCTTCACACAGTACAGACAGACATAACACTGTAGCAGGACCTTTCATACAGTACAAACAGACTCAAAACTGTAGCAGGACCTTTCACATGGTACAGACAGACAAAAGACCCCTTACACAGTATATACAGACTCAAGACCGTAGGAGGACTCCTCTTAAAGCACAGACACAAGACCCTAGTAGAAGCCCTCACACAGTACAGACACAAGACTGCAGCAGGACCCCTCACACAGTACAGACACAAGACTGTAGCAGGAACCCTCACAGAGTATAGGCAAACACAAGACCATAGCAGGACCCCTCATAAAGTACAGACAGACACAAGACTGTAGCAGGACCTCTCACACAGTACAGACACACACAAGACTGTAGCAGGGCCCTTCACACAGTACAGACACACACAAGACTGCAGCAGGACCCCTCACACAGTACAGACACAAGACTGTAGCAGGAACCCTCACAGAGTATTGGCAGACACAAGACCATAGCAGGACCCCTCATACAGTAGACAGACAGACACAAGACTGTAGCAGGACCTCTCACACAGTACAGACACACACAAGACTGTAGCAGGGCCCTTCACACAGTACAGACACACACAAGACTGTAGCAGGACCTCTCACACAGTACAGACACACACAAGACTGTAGCAGGACCCCTCACACAGTACAGACACAAGACTGTAGCAGGAACCCTCACAGAGTATTGGCAGACACAAGACCATAGCAGGACCCTCATACAGTACAGACAGACACAAGACTGTAGCAGGACCTCTCACACAGTACAGACACACACAAGACTGTAGCAGGGCCCTTCACACAGTACAGACACAAGACTGTAGCAGGAACCCTCACAGAGTATAGGCAGACACAAGACCATAGCAGGACCCCTCATACAGTAGACAGACAGACACAAGACTGTAGCAGGACCTCTCACACAGTACAGACACACACAAGACTGTAGCAGGGCCCTTCACACAGTACAGACAGACACAAGACTGTAGCAGGAACCCTCACAGAGTATAGACAGACACAAGACCATAGCAGGACCCCTCATACAGTACAGACGGATACAAGACTGTAGTAGGACCTCTCACACAGTACAGACAGACAGAAGATTGTAGCAAAACCTCTCACAAAGTACAGACAGACACAAGACTGCACCACAGTCGCCAAAACAGTATAGAAAAGCATTAGACCTTATCATGGTCCTAACAAAAATTACAGAACAGCTTTAGACTGTCGCAGTCTCAGAAACAAAATATAGAAAAGTACAATACTGTACCACCTTCTTTACACAAAGTACAGACAAGTATAAGACTACCACAGCCCCCACACAAAGTACAGACAAGTATAAGACTACCACAGCCCCCACACAAAGTACAGACAAGTATAAGACTACCACAGCCCCCACACAAAGTACAGACAAGTATAAGACTACCACAGCCCCCACACAAAGTACAGACAAGTATAAGACTACCACAGCCCCCACACAAAGTACAGACAAGTATAAGACTACCACAGCCCCCACACAAAGTACAGACAAGTATAAGACTACCACAGCCCCCACACAAAGTACAGACAAGCATAAAACTGTACCCATACACGGTACAGAAAAGCACAAAACTACTCTAAATTCCCCTACAAAATGTACCGTCCCCACACAAAGTATAGAAAAGCATAAGACTCTACCATGGTCCTCTATAAAATAAGACTATACCACACCCAAAAACAAAGTATAGAAAACAATAAAACTGTACCATTTTCTCCACACAAAGTATAGAAAACAATAAAACTGTACCATTTCTCCACACAAAGTATAGAAAGGCACAAGACTGTACCTTGGAAATCTGTAACTGTACTATGGAATGTTTGATGGCTTCAATCATGGCCTGGCAGGGAGACACAAGAAAACAAGGTCAAAGGTTACTTACTCCATCCTGGATACAAGTACACTCACACAAACAGTTACACAGGAACTAGTAAAATGCCATCAGGATACTCTAGCATGGACTACAAAAACACTCTTAGAATTTACTTTAAAGAAAAGGAAAAAGTCCAGAAAAAAAAAGAAAAAAATCTAAGTACACTACTTTAAGCATTTTACTCAGTCAGAATCTTTAAAAATTGTGGTTTTTCTAAAAATTAATTTTTTTTTTTTTAAATATCCTCATAACTTTGTGAAACTCTACTTTAATAAACTAGAAGACGAAAAGCAGCAGCAAAAGAAATCTGAAGCCTTGGGCATTTTTGAATGAATGAATACATCTATCAATTATTCAATGGAGAACTGACTACACTGCGGATATTCCCATACAAGTTTCGTTCCCCTTATTCAGTCACCAGTGAAGAGTTGACATACTTGTCGCCAGACACTGCTTCAAGTAGACAAAATCGTTTGACTTACGTACCACCCCGTTTGACAATTCAATTTTTCCCTCTTGACTACGTCACAGATGACTAAAGTCGATGGCTGCCGTTTGGGAACTTCCCACTGTGTCTTATTTGCAGTTTCCTTGCACTTTCATGTACAGAATTTGCTGCTAGTAAATTCGGCAATGCTGTTGAGAAAAACTGGCTACTAGCGGAATCCCGCTGGTACACGGGATTGCTGTCATTAACTTCCGGCCGCTAGCAAGAGACGGACATGCAGTTCTAGACGACAACTTGATTTCTGTCTTTCACACACCTATAGCCCTAGCATTATTTACCGAATTCACTAAGTTCCTACATCTAAATCTAGTCATTATTACTTATATCGAGATTTCCTTTTCGAGCCCGCATTTCATGTAAAATATTAGAATTGTACCAGACAGAGGAAAGACGATGCTGATTCATTTCTGCCGCTGACACGTGGGTCAGAAACTCGATCTTTGACACATGATTCCCATCTTTGTGTACCCAGGGTCTATTCCTATTTACTGGATCTAGGACTTGTAGATTATCAATCCTAGTCTATGTGTACAGAAATGATCTATGACTGTTTATCATGTTTGTGTATTCAGTGGTAACATTTCATGTAAGATGTTTTTCTTCTTGTTATTCTACAGTTCATGTTTGCTTGTTGTAGTAAGTGCTGCATTTTGTCAGGTTATTCATGTATTATTTTACTTATACACAGCCTTTTAATGAATGCTGTGGTGTTGATGACATATTGTCTAAGAAAACTTCCCACTGAGAAACTATTTTCTCAGCACCACAAAATATGGTTACAAACCAGAAATTAACCAAACAATGGAATACCTGGAAGACAAGAAAGCTGCCACTGTTATCTAGAATCATCAATATTTATAGAGATAATTCTACAGCATCATGTCTGATTTGTTGTTGTATTTATAACTGCACAGTGCTGTCTGAGCTGGAGGAAATATGCAGTATTACATGATCATCATGTCTGATTTGTTGTTGTATTTATAACTGCACAGTGCTGTCTGAGCTGGAGGAAATATGCAGTATTACATGATCATCATGTCTGATTGGTTGTTGTATTTATAACTGCACAGCGCTGTCTGAGCTGGAGGAAATATGCAGTATTACATGATCATCATGTCTGATTGGTTGTTGTATTTATAACTGCACAGTGCTGTCTGAGCTGGAGGAAATATGCAGTATTACATGATCATCATGAAGGACAGAAGATGGAATACCATTCATCTGGACTGGACAGTAGCCAGAAGTGGAAGCTATGTAAATGACAAGGCTATGAGACCATTTTTCCCACTTCTGACAATATGAAGACAGAGGGGAGAGTTGGGAGTGTATTTTATTCTGCAGAGGATTAGAGACTATACATTTTGATTGTTTCCATCCCTAGCTGCTTTGAAGCCAAGGACAATTCCTTGTTCCTTGTGGCAGGATGAGCTTCCAAAACACTGCTAGGCTGGTGGTAGCCAAAACACTGCCAGGCTGATGGTAGCCAAAACACTGCCAGGCTGATGGTAGCCAAAACACTGCCAGGCTGATGGTAGCCAAAACACTGCCAGGCAGGTCGTAGCCAAAACACTGCCAGGCTGGTCGCAGCCAAAACACTGCCAGTCTGGTCGTAGCCAAAACACTGCCAGGCTGGTCGTAGCCAAAACACAGCCAGGCTGGTCGTAGCCAAAACACAGCCAGGCTGGTCGTAGCCAAAATGCTGTCAGGCTGATGGTAGCCAAACCACTGCTAGGCTGGTCGTAGCCAAAACACAGCCAGGCTGGTCGTAGCCAAAATGCTGTCATGCTGATGGTAGCCAAACCACTGCTAGGCTGGTCGTAGCCAAAACACAGCCAGGCTGGTCGTAGCCAAAACACTGCCAGGCTGGTCGTAGCCAAAACACTGCCAGGCTGGTCGTAGCCAAAACACTGCCAGGCTGGTCGTAGCCAAAACACTGCCAGGCTGGTCGTAGCCAAAACACTGCCAGGCTGGTCGTAGCCAAAACACTGCCAGGCTGGTCGTAGATGATGACTGAGGTGCCTTGAGGTTGTTGTTGTTGTTATTGATCCAGCGGCGCATGAGCTTTCGCCCTTTGGCCCAAAGGTGCCCTGAGGAAGGTCTTGGTGTCTTTTGCAGTTGTAACATTCAACATCAATTCTGGATGAAAAATCCTCTGGGAAACCTCCGGTGGTAAATGTTTGTTGTCCCAACAAAATCAACTCTCTCATGACGTTTTTTTTTTTGGGGCACTATCCATTTGATCCCGTAAAGCCTTCACCACATCTGCTTTATCATATATATATATAACTCACCGCCCAGAGTAGCAGCAACAGCTAATCTATCAGTCTGCTCATTACCTCGGACACCTTAATGTCCTGGACAGACAATCCATGATATAGTCTTGATCTGGGTCTTATCCAGTGATGTAAGCGCCTCTGATCACAGGACACCATGTTTTCACAGTTTTTATAAACATCCAGGGAGTGGAACCCCCTAGACAACCGAGCAGACAAACAGATGTGAAGTCATCTGCTTCTTTGATGACGTCATATCACTATAAAAACTGTTAGTTTATTTTTGATTTTTACATGTCTAAATCAGGAAACAATTCATGTTTACATGAAGCGAAGTTTTCCCTAAATACAAAAGGACCAACAAATTAACTGAATTTCTTCCCTCCTTTCTTCTTTTGTCATCTCACTGATACCAGGTTGTAGCAGAGTGTCGTGGTTTCCTGTATTTGTCTTGCACTTCTCGAGTGGCTTTAGTGATGAATTTCTTCATCTTTTTGCAGGTTTCAGCTACATCTTTATGCATCTCTTTCTTGGTCTTCCTCTCGCCTTTCTCCCAGATGTTCTGCTGTAAAAGGTCTCATGCAGTTTGGTTTGGCTGCAATCTGACTAGATGGCTGAACTATTTCATTTGTTGTCAATATAATTCAGACATGGTCTTATTCCAACTTTCTCTCTAATGCTGGTGGTCATAACCCTGTTTCTTCTTGCATTGTTAATGACCTTGCGGAGACAGTGCATTTCACATGTAGTTATTTTCTGTTCTACTATCCTATTCACTGTCCATGTTTGGTACTGATAATATCTGTCAAGTAGCGATACAGGTGCTTTAATCATTTGCTGTTTTGCTGACAAACAGACACCTAGGTGTCTAAGCCGTGGGGCTAACTGGTAGGTGACAGCACTTGTCCTACCGTAAAATCTGGCTTCTATCTCTCCATCGAGTCTGCCATCCTCCGTAAATATACTTCCTAGATATTTCCTTTAAGCATCTAAAAGTGGTTTTTGTCACTTTACCAGAAGAGCAATAAGGCGTAATTTTCAAATTATATGAGGTCACACACACAAAATGCACTTTTAAAAAAGTCACAATCGCCAATACTTTCTTCCCACAGACAAGTTCTGACAACAGATAGTAAGTGGTTATCTTTTTCTTGTTCTACGTCCATTTGAGAACATAAATGTATTGTTCTTGCTTACAGCATAGCTGTGATAATTTCAAACTTCAACAGAAACACCTTATTTCTTCAGGCTTTTGTTGCCCTGGTTAGCCTGCTCAGATGCTACTGTCTAACACAGGCAGACTTAGACAAAACAAAATAGACACTCACGTCTGCTGTAACTTTAATGACATTGTAGCGTTCTTTGTCTGCTTCATTTGGGCACTCCTCAATTTTCTTAGCCAGAGCCTGAAAAAAAAAAATTATGCAGTTTATAATTTATAAAAAGTTTACGACTACAGTAAAGCAATCATTCTTTATCGACTGAGGTGAGAACAAGAATTCTCAGAGGCTATTCATCAATCCCATTCTGCTGAGTGGAGTAGACAAATTCAAAACGGAGTATATTCTGTAACAGACTGTTTATGACAGGGTCAGGCACACAGAGTAGTGACCCCTGTCTTTCCAGGAACTGCATGCTCCACTGATACACCTGCTGGGCTGTCAGGCATGCTCCACTCATACACTTGCTGGACTGTCAGGCATGCTCCACTGATACACCTGCTGGACTGACAGACATGCTCCACTCATACACCTGTTGGGCTGTCAGGCATGCTCCACTCATACACCTGCTGGACTGACAGACATGCTCCACTCATACACCTGCTGGACTGACAGACATGCTCCACTGATACACCTGCTGGACTGACAGACATGCTCCACTCATACACCTGCTGGACTGACAGACATGCTCCACTGATACACTTGCTGGACTGACAGACATGCTCCACTGATACACTTGCTGGACTGACAGACATGCTCCACTCATACACCTGCTGGGCTGTCAGACATGTTCCACTCATACACCTGCTGGACTGTCAGGCATGCTCCACTGATACACCTGCTGGACTGTCAGACATGCTCCACTCATACACCTGCTGGGCTGTCAGGCATGCTCCACTCATACACTTGCTGGACTGTCAGGCATGCTCCACTGATACACCTGCTGGACTGACAGACATGCTCCACTGATACACTTGCTGGACTGACAGACATGCTCCACTGATACACTTGCTGGACTGACAGACATGCTCCACTGATACACCTGCTGGACTGACAGACATGCTCCACTCATACACCTGTTGGGCTGTCAGGCATGCTCCACTCATACACCTGCTGGACTGACAGACATGCTCCACTCATACACCTGCTGGACTGACAGACATGCTCCACTGATACACCTGCTGGACTGACAGACATGCTCCACTCATACACCTGCTGGACTGACAGACATGCTCCACTGATACACTTGCTGGACTGACAGACATGCTCCACTGATACACTTGCTGGACTGACAGACATGCTCCACTCATACACCTGCTGGGCTGTCAGACATGTTCCACTCATACACCTGCTGGACTGTCAGGCATGCTCCACTGATACACCTGCTGGACTGTCAGACATGCTCCACTCATACACCTGCTGGGCTGTCAGGCATGCTCCACTCATACACTTGCTGGACTGTCAGGCATGCTCCACTGATACACCTGCTGGACTGACAGACATGCTCCACTGATACACTTGCTGGACTGACAGACATGCTCCACTGATACACTTGCTGGACTGACAGACATGCTCCACTGATACACTTGCTGGACTGACAGACATGCTCCACTGATACACCTGCTGGACTGACAGACATGCTCCACTGATACACCTGCTGGACTGACAGACATGCTCCACTCATACACCTGCTGGGCTGTCAGACATGCTCCACTCATACACCTGCTGGGCTGTCAGACATGCTCCCCTCATACACCAGCAACCATGCTTTCTGTTATTTATTGGTTTTTGAAAAACATTAGCGAGTTAAACACTGCCGAGTTAAACATTGCCGAGTTAAACATTGCCAAGTTAAACATTTTTAAACATTGCCGAGTTAAACATTGCCAAGTTAAACATTGTTAAACATTGCCGAGTTAAACATTGCCAAGTTAAACATTGCCGAGTTAAACATTGCCGAGTTAAACATTGCCAAGTTAAACATTGCCGAGTTAAACATTGCCGAGTTAAACATTGCCAAGTTAAACATTGCCAAGTAAAACATTGCCAAGTTAAACATTGCCAAGTTAAACATTGCCAAGTTAAACATTGCCAAGTTAAACATTGCCGAGTTAAACATTGCCAAGTTAAACATTGCCAAGTTAAACATTGCCAAGTAAAACATTGCCAAGTTAAACATTGCCAAGTTAAACATTGCCAAGTTAAACATTGCCAAGTTAAACATTGCCGAGTTAAACATTGCCAAGTTAAACATTGCCAAGTTAAACATTGCCAAGTAAAACATTGCCAATGTGCTTCAGTTGATGAGATATGATCATGTTAATGAGACAATGTTCTTAATGTTCAGAACTTGTAGAAGCCTTTTTTCCCCTTAATTCATCAAATTCTAAGAACACATATACACATGTTATCTCTGAGACATCCATGTGATGGGAAAACAGCATACTGGAGAAAAGGGGGTGGGGGGGTGGGGGGGATGGGGGAGACTAACCTCATTCTGGTCTATCAGAAGCTGTAGGTAGGCATTTGTTTCCAGCAGTTTCCTCTCAAAATCTTCTAAGGTAGCTCCATGATCATCAGGGTGTTTCTAAGAGTTTCAGGAATAATCACAAGATTATTGTGAGTAGTGGTTAAGTTGTCAACTCCAGCAAGGAAATTAATGTTCATGTATTGACTAGCAATCAAAGAATTCAAGTGAAGAAGTAACTCTCAGAGCAAACACTTTCTTTTTGCCTTTGAAATGATGATGTAGCTTAAGCTGTCCACAGGATGAGGTAATTTCTTCTTACGATGTTCATCAGGGCCATCATACTTTGCTTCCCTCATGGGCCTCAGTAACACACACAGAGACGACATACTAGACAACATAAATCAGTAAACGCTGAAGTAAAAGGAAATGAAAAAACTGACAGACTGGCCACCTCTGCAGAAGCTAGTGGAGGAAGAAGTCAGGACAGAGCAGACATACTGAATGCCCTCTGTTCTAAAGAATTTGAGAGAAAGGAGTCAGAGATGATGAACTGCCTGTTGGAAATGGGTATTCAACAAAGACAAACCTGCAGAAACTGGTTGAGGGCAAAAAAGCAGATACGCCATCCAACTCCTACTGGATACAGTGAGCACGAAAAAACTGAGATGGTTGGCTGCATCAGAGGTAGGAGCATGACTGGGTCTGACCCGTGTACTAGGATGTCAATACAGACAACAGGTAATTAGTAACTAGACACCACAAAAACTGAAAGTATGAACTGGTCTGACCCCTGTACTAGGATGTCAATACAGCCATCAGGTAACTAGAAGCAGATTTAGATAGACAGTCAGACAGATATTGTGGCATGATGATTGTGTGAGTCAGCCGGTACACCACAAAAACTGAAAGCATGAATGGGTCTGACCTGTATACTAGGATGTCAAACAAGACAACAGGTAACTAGAAGCAGATACAGACAGACAGACAGACAGATATTGTGGCATGATGATTAGTGTGAGTCAGCCGGTACACAGGACTTTCCTTACAGGTCGAGTCTGCTCCTATTCTTTTGATCATTTCAGATGGAGACACATCAGTGCCTATGTTTACCAGCAAGGCACATGATGATGATGATGACACTGTGGCAACACCTGGATCTGAGCCCACGACCCTCAAATGATGATAGTGCTTCACTGCAGAAACTGATCTTCAAAACACTGATCCAGACAGCCACAAAATGATGTCCTCACTAGCCCCACAATTATAGAATATGGTCAGAATTTCTACCCTATCGATTCAACAGCCATCATGGTAACTTCCACTTGTGCCATTAAGCACTGTGGGGAAAAACAGTTTGTGGTCCATGTCTTGATGGGCAGCAATGGCAACTGTCATTCCATGTTGATGTACAAGGTCTTGACTGTCAATCCATCTGATCATTTGGTGATCTCTTGTCTTCAAAATGAACTGTTCATCTGCAGCACCTGTGTTGGTAACTGCTGTGGCTGGATTGTAATCAGATGACTATACCATCTGATCTTTAGTTTCTGAATGAATCTGGCCCATGGTGTTGTTCACAGTCTGTCTGGCAGGATCTTAAGCCCTCACTTTCTCTCCTATGGTTAAGTTGTCAGCTCTCCTCAGCCATCTCATTCCACGCAAATTTTAATTAGGTTAGCCCAGTGTTTCCTAAACCTTTCTCAGTCGCTGCACCTTTTTTTCAATTAAAATGTTTCCATGGCGCCCTAACCGAAGTAAAAGTATGACTATTTGTGTCTTGGTTAAATTAATTATAAAACTTTTTAAAATATTTTGCGGCGCCCCTGTAAAGAGGTCACGGCTCCCTGGGGTGCCGCTGCAAACAGTTTGGGAATCACTGGGTTAGCCTTTGATAATGTCCAAGTCTGGCACCAGTAGGCACTGACAGCACAGTGCTGATATGAATATACAGGTTACAAACTGTTTATGTATCGATCTGGTTACAATCTGTTTATGTATCGATCTGGTTACAATCTGTTTATGTATCGATCAGGTTACAATCTGTCTATGTATCGATCTGGTTACAATCTGTCTATGTATCGATCTGGTTACAATCTGTTTATGTATCGATTTGGTTACAATCTGTCTATGTATCGATCTGGTTACAATCTGTTTATGTATCGATTTGGTTACAATCTGTTTATGTATCGATCTGGTTACAATCTGTTTATGTATCGATCAGGTTACAATCTGTCTATGTATCGATCTGGTTACAATCTGTTTATGTATTGATCTGGTTACAATCTGTTTATGTATTGATCTGGTTACAATCTGTTTATGTATCGATCAGGTTACAATCTGTTTATGTATCGATCAGGTTACAATCTGTTTATGTATCGATTTGGTTACAATCTGTTTATGTATCGATCTGGTTACAAACTGTTTATGTATCCATCTGGCTACAATCTATTTATGTATCGATCTGGCTACAATCTGTTTATGTATCGATCTGGCTACAAACAGTTTATGTATCGATCTGGCTACAAACTGTTTATGTATCGATCTGGCTACAATCTGTTTATGTATCGATCTGGCTACAATCTATTTATGTATCGATCTGGTTACAAACTGTTTATGTATCGATCTGGCTACAAACTGTTTATGTATCGATCTGGCTACAATCTGTTTATGTATCGATCTGGTTACAAACTGTTTATGTATCGATCTGGCTACAAACTGTTTATGTATCGATCTGGCTACAATCTGTTTATGTATCGATCTGGCTACAATCTGTTTATGTATCGATCTGGTTACAAACTGTTTATGTATCGATCTGGCTACAAACTGTTTATGTATCGATCTGGTTACAATCTGTTTATGTATCGATCTGGCTACAAACTGTTTATGTATCGATCTCTTAAAATCCGTGTCAGAAGTAGTTCAACAGTACTTTCAGAAATGTGTTAACTAAGCAAGGTAAAATCAGAAACATATCAGGCCATTATGTTAAGTTCATCACATTCACAGAGGTAGCATCATGGATTCTGACCAGACTCATTCACAATACTGATACTTCTGTCTCATACAAACTTCAGACTCAGAGAATTTTAACAAGCAATTTGCAGCACACCTTAATACATTTGAAGGAGAAATTTGCAAGAGTTCTTAGGTAATATTTCATAGAAATTTGGAACAGGTCTCAATAAATATTAGCTTCATTTATCTATCACACATTTAACAAAAAACAAAAAGCTCAACTGACAAATATTTTGAAACATGCAATAAACACTTTGATGAAGGAAATATTAGTGTAACAATACAACAGCTAACAACACAGACCAGTTTAACATGTAACTGTGAATGTTACTGTTAACATAATAATTGCAAGAATGTTGACTAACCTGACCACTCTGCTGAATAGCATTCTCTAAAGCCTCGATCCACCGCTCCCTTTCATCTTGATCTCTGGCTGTTGAGATTTCACAAACAAATTTCGTAAACTGATATCTTCTCCAGAATCTGCTACTGCTTACAGAGGCAGATAGCTTAATTCTCTGTACCAGAGCTTTCAAAACTGTGTGTAGTGACACATTTGTGTGACGGTTGCAGTGAAAAGGTGTGTTGCACGTTACTGGTGTTATTTAATGTGTCATATCATCTCGACACATAACAATGACATTCATCCTTATATTTTCTTCAATATAAATGAAAGGCATTCATGAAACTGGCTGTGCTGTGAAACACGTCTCTATGACAACTGATATACAATTAATCTCATCAATAAAGACATGGTCTGGGGCATGGCAGGAGCCATGACAGCTGAGCGGTTAGTCAGTCACCTGCCAGCCCAATGGTCTCAGGTTCAAATTCGTACCATCAGTTTTATTTTGTTTAAACTGGCCTTGGTTTCCAATGGATACCAGCTAATGTCCTGTGAAGTCAAGCCAGCCAGCCAGATGCTGACCTCATCAACCACCAAGAGCTGGATAGTCTATACTAATATGTGTCTAGCAGTGTGTGCCCAATATGCCACAGGTGGGGGGGGGGTGTAGTTTACTGTTAACAGAGGACAGTACATAAATATGTGATGCTATATTAAAGGGTACTTCCCTCTAGAGCTTACCTTGGAAATGAAATGTTTTATGATCAACAGTGATCGTAAACGTGCTGTCATCTTCATCATCAATGCCAATAACAGCCCCCTATGTAACAGAAGAAGAAGAAAACAGTCCTTAATGAATTAGATGAAGAATAAATGATTCTGCACTGGACAAGTTTATATACACTCAGTCTCTCCCAGATGAAGCCAAGGGGTGTTGATGCTGACTGTCCCTGCCAGAGTAAGGACACACCCGCATGATGTTACTGTGAGCAGTTCCACACTTGACTCCAATCCTAACAGCCAGAATCCTTCTTCTTTTTTGTGCCCCCTACCAGTGGTTTTCATATAAAAGGTGTAAATAATTTTCTTCTTGATAATTATGTTTACAGTAGGAATGCCGTCAGAATAAATATGAATTATATATTTGAATTTATCAAGGACGAATTGTGACGCACAGGAAAATGTTGGCTAAATTAACCACGGCGAGATGAAAAAACATGAGAATCACAAGAGTGTGGGGTCAGAAAGATTATTTAACATCTGGAAAGATCTAAAGCAGTCAGTCTCGTTTAGGTTCAGGACCGGTGTATTTGCTGGAGTAGAGAAAGTGTTTGCTGAAAGAATCAAGTTATAAATGATAGAGTGCTTTAGATTTGGCTGCAAGTTCTCATGCCCAACCTGGCTATCAGTTTGGTCTCACTTGGATAGTCAAAGCTGAACGTGTTGTGATTATTTGTCGAAGAAAGTTATCATTTCAAGCTGTCATCGTGCTAATGTACATTTGTGTTTGCCTGTGAAGGTAAGGTTATTTTATTTGATCTGCTGTTAGTGATCGCCTAGACAATGTTTAAACCTGGACATGCACTGGCCGAGCAATCAGCTGTTGTATGAACAATAAATAGTGTCAAAGAGTTGTCTCGTTCTTATCGTCCATTCTTCACCTGTTCAGTTGTACATCAGTGTACGGTTGAGGAGACTGCAAGATCGTCCATTATTCACCTGTTCAGTTGTACATCAGTGTACGGTTGAGGAGACTGCAAGATCGTCCATTCTTCACCTGTTCAGTTGTACATCAGTGTACGGTTGAGGAGACTGCAAGATCGTCCATTCTTCACCTGTTCAGTTGTACATCAGTGTACGGTTAAGGAGACTGCAAGATCGTCCATTATTCACCTGTTCAGTTGTACATCAGTGTACGGTTAAGGAGACTGCAAGATCGTCCATTATTCACCTCATCAGTTGTACATCAGTGTACGGTTGAGGAGATTGCAAGATCGTCCATTATTCACCTGTTCAGTTGTACATCAGTGTACGGTTGAGGAGACTGCAAGATTGTCCATTATTCACCTGTTCAGTTGTACATCAGTGTACGGTTGAGGAGACTGCAAGATCGTCCATTATTCACCTGTTCAGTTGTACATCAGTGTACGGTTGAGGAGACTGCAAGATCGTCCATTATTCACCTGTTCAGTTGTACATCAGTGTACGGTTGAGGAGACTCCAAGATCGTCCATTATTCACCTGTTCAGTTGTACATCAGTGTACGGTTGAGGAGACTGCAAGATCGTCCATTCTTCACCTGTTCAGTTGTACATCAGTGTACGGTTGAGGAGACTGCAAGATTGTCCATTATTCACCTGTTCAGTTGTACATCAGTGTACGGTTGAGGAGACTGCAAGATCGTCCATTATTCACCTGTTCAGTTGTACATCAGTGTACGGTTGAGGAGACTGCAAGTGACTGAAACCAAGACTGAGTGTAAATAGAGTCATTGCAGTCATGAAGGCTGTCCGGGCAAAACAATCTAGAGTCATGCAAAAAGTCAACGGGCCTCTAGGAAGGCTGCAGGGTGACACAAGAACTTCACTGTCCTTTACAGCTTGTTTCCCACCAGAATGTAATAACTGTTTAAAGTTGCTTGGGTCTCCCTTGTAATAACTGTTTATAGTTGCTTGGGTCTCTCTTGTAATAACTGTTTATAGTTGCTTGGGCCTCTCTTGTAATAACTGTTTATTGTTGCTTGGGTCTCCCTTGTAATAACTGTTTATAGTTGCTTGGGTCTTCCTTGTAATAACTGTTTAAAGTTGCTTGGGTCTTCCTTGTAAAAACTGTTTATAGTTGCTTGGGTCTCTCTTGTAATAACTGTTTATAGTTGCTTGGGTCTTCCTTGTAATAACTGTTTATAGTTGCTTGGGTCTCCCTTGTAATAACTGTTTATGTTGCTTGGGTCTCCCTTGTAATAACTGTTTATGTTGCTTGGGTCTCTCTTGTAATAACTGTTTAAAGTTGCTTGGGTCTTCCTTGTAAAAACTGTTTATAGTTGCTTGGGTCTCCCTTGTAATAACTGTTTATAGTTGCTTGGGTCTCACTTCTAATAACTGTTTATAGTTGCTTGGGTCTCCCTTGTAATAACTGTTTATAGTTGCTTGGGTCTCCCTTGTAATAACTGTTTATAGTTGCCTGCATTTATTTTCCAGCCTTTACAGCTTGTTTCCCACCAGAATGTAATAACTGTTTAAAGTTGCTTGGGTCTCCCTTGTAATAACTGTTTATAGTTGCTTGGGTCTCTCTTGTAATAACTGTTTATAGTTGCTTGGGCCTCTCTTGTAATAACTGTTTATTGTTGCTTGGGTCTCCCTTGTAATAACTGTTTATAGTTGCTTGGGTCTTCCTTGTAATAAATGTTTAAAGTTGCTTGGGTCTTCCTTGTAAAAACTGTTTATAGTTGCTTGGGTCTCTCTTGTAATAACTGTTTATAGTTGCTTCGGTCTTCCTTGTAATAACTGTTTATAGTTGCTTGGGTCTCCCTTGTAATAACTGTTTATGTTGCTTGGGTCTCCCTTGTAATAACTGTTTATGTTGCTTGGGTCTCTCTTGTAATAACTGTTTAAAGTTGCTTGGGTCTTCCTTGTAAAAACTGTTTATAGTTGCTTGGGTCTCCCTTGTAATAACTGTTTATAGTTGCTTGGGTCTCACTTCTAATAACTGTTTATAGTTGCTTGGGTCTCCCTTGTAATAACTGTTTATAGTTGCTTGGGTCTCCCTTGTAATAACTGTTTATAGTTGCCTGCATTTATTTTCCAGCCAATATTTTCTGCAGGATGTGGAAGCCAACCAGAAGGTCAATCTTCCTGAATGGCCCTAACAACAAAAAAAAAAAAAAACAGTCTAATGATTCACTTTCAAAAAGGGCATGCTAGAGCTAGCAGCCAATTAAACTGAATTAACCCCTACAAATACATCGTAGCAGAGACACTGCTTTCATCCCTAGGACTCAACTATTCAGCTCTGTCAATGAGGCACACATTCAAAGGCCAGTAAAGAGCAACCTCTGGCTTATCGAAATCTCTGCATGGATCCGAGCAAAAACCAGAGGACCTGTTTCTATATGGATGTCTTTGGATAGACAACATGGCAACAATCAAATGTATATTTACTGACCCAAAAAAGTAAATAGATAAATGATACATTCACACTAAGTATGATCAAGCACTGCATGAGCCAAACATTATTCCAGGGAGCAGAAACATTAATGTACAATGTGAGGGTCAATCACAGATTTCCCAATGCGGACAGAAGCCTTTCAAATGTGGACAGAAGATTTCCTAGTGTCGACAGAAGATTCCCAAATGTTGACCGAAGATTTCCTAGTGTCGACAGAAGATTCCCAAATGTTGACTGAAGATTTCCTAGTGTCGACAGAAGATTCCCAAATGTTGACTGAAGATTTCCTAGTGTCGACAGAAGATTCCCAAATGTTGACTGAAGATTTCCTAGTGTCGACAGAAGATTCTCAAATGTTGACTGAAGATTTCCTAGTGTCGACAGAAGATTCCCAAATGTTGACCGATTTCCTAGTGTCGACAGAAGATTTCCACATGTTGACTGAAGATTTTCTATTGTCGACAGAAGATTTCCTAGTGTCAACAGAAGATTTTCTAGTGTCAATAGAAGATTTTCTAGTGTCGACAGAAGATTTCCAAATGTGGTTAAATAATGAGTAGAAGGAGTCTCATGGCAAGAGACGAGAACCCAGGATACGAGAGAGAACCAACTAAGAAATGTATAACAGCTTAGACTGAATGAAATCAGGATAAGATAGTTTAGGTACCTGGATCATATAGACTATAGAGGAGATAACTCCAGGTTAACTCTATTTCTTCAATGCAACTCACTATGAATTGCTGCAAGTGGCTGGCCAGATATGCTTGTATTAGCCCTCGTACTCTGTTCAGCTTCAATTTAAACTATAGATATGCTTGTATTAGCCCTCGTACTCTGTTCAGCTTCAATTTAAACTATTATCTCCCAATGGTTAACTCGGTTTCCTTTGTTAAATAGAGTCATTACTAGAGCCCCTTTTGGATATAAACTTGTACTACAACTGCCTGGGAAATAAGGAGTTCAGAAACACACGTCTGGGGCTGGAAAAGTTCAAAGGTGTGTTAAAGGTAAAGGTGGCGGAGAAGCATGAAAGAGAAATACAATGAGATGCACTGAAAGAAGTTTTATCTTTTACTTGGCTTCTTAGCATTCACTGGCTGTGAACTCCTTAGAAAAGTTCTGCCTGGGTGCCCACTACAAAAAATAAGCTTATATAAATGAATTTGTCTCAGAAACGACATGATTGGCATGCATAAAACAATATGTGTTCTACATAGCACTTGAACACTCTTGTTCTCACTGTAACTGACTTGTTCTTGATGGTGAGAATCTTATGCAACTTAAGGCCACTTTAGCAGCACTTTAACACAGACAAACATAACAAGCAGAGACAAGCAGAGACTCACTGAAAGCCGAACACAGCCTCGTCTTGAACCTTTTACCATTTTGTCCTTGGACTACAAAAGGAATAGAAGACAAATTTAATTTATGTGTAATTAAAAAATGATTACTAATGAATAATAATAAAATAACTGGTACATGGAATATTATCAGCCCTAGGAAAACTGGTAGAAAGAAAGCCTACACACAGACAGATACAGCATGGTACTTAAGACAGTGTCTCTCATTAGTGCATGCCCTAGGGTAACATTCTGACCTCTGGGTGAGTGAGGTGTGCAACAAGGTGTGACCTACTCCCACTGAAAGGGCAGTGAAACAAATGAATAAATACTTAAAGTAACACCTCTTGTTCCTCTTAGTGTGGTCGCCAGCAGTAACACCTCTTGTTCCTCTTAGTGTGGTCGCCAGCAGTAACACCTCTTGTTCCTCTTAGTGTGGTTGCCAGCAGTAAACCCATCGGAAAGTCCTGCCTGTCACCTACTTCTTGACTTTAGACTTGTTCCAGAACTTGAGTTTTGGTGCACATCTGTTTTACAGATCTGGTTTATGCTTTATGCAGACTGCTGGTTCATCGCCTGTCTGGCAGATGCAATCCCTCTTTGAAACAAACACACCAAAACAGGGCCCTGGAACTCACACTGGGACAAATAATCACTACAGACAAAACATTTGAGTATAATGAGTAAGACATATGCAGTGAAAAGTTCAGGAAGATTTGGGGTTTAAAGATACAAGTGTTTGACAGAACAGGGAAACTGTGGATTTAAAGACAGTGTGAGAGAAATGGAGAATGCTGAGGTTTAAGACAAAACTGTGAGAGAAATGGAGAATGCTGGGTATAAAGACGAAACTGAGTGAGAGAAATGGAGAATGCTAAGCTTTAAGACAAAACTGTGAGAGAAATGGAGAATGCTGGGTATTAAGACAAAACTGTGTGAGAGAAATGAAGAATGCTGGGTATTAAGAAGAAACTGAGTGAGAGAAATGGAGAATGCTGGGTTTTAAGACAAAACTGTGTGAGAGAAATGGAGAATGCTGAGCTTTAAGACAAAACTGTGTGAGAGAAATAGAGAATGCTGGGTTTTAAGACAAAACTGTGTGAGAGAAATAGAGAATGCTGGCTTTTAAAACAAAACTGTGTGAGAGAAATAGAGAATGCTGGCTTTTAAGACAAAACTGTGTGAGAGAAATGAAGGCTGTGGACAAAGTGTATTTATAAGTTAATGTCTGAAAGGTTAATATTATATTTCTAGGGACTAGCTGGAAGTCTTCTTCTTCTTCGCGTTCACCAGCTGTACACTCTGGCGGAAAGTTCTGGTTGCTCGTCCACTACTGAACTGCAGTCCTGCTCCAGAACCTGAGTGTTGCGTGTGCATCAGTTTTACAGATCTCATTCTCTTGAATAGACTGTTGGTTCCTTGCCTCTCCGGCAGATGCACTTCGACTTCAAAGGAAGCTCCCCAATTAGTTGACTCTTACGACATGCTTTTGGGGAGGCAGTGGGTCTATTCTTGTTTTCCCCTACAATGGGGCCCAGAACCCACTGCTAGCTGGAAGTAAAGCAAAGGAAAGGTGTATACAAATACAACTTTCAAGTTGTTTGTTGATTCTGTGCTGTCAATAAAAATGTTCAAACAACTAACCCCTGATCCTGTTTCTCTATCTGGATTTCCCCAAAATGTGGGAGAAAACAACATTTTACCAACTAAACTAACACTGGTGAACAAAACAAGCCACGGCCCCTCCCCTTCCAGTGATCGCCACTATTTGTTAACTTCAGAACCTGAAACAGACGAATGACACATGTTTAGCGTACGCCTCCCCGCAAATACCACATCGCTCAAACTGGACACACGTCGTAAATACCGTGTAATATGACAAGAGTCCAGCAGCATCGTCCAGGACAAACCAGCGGTACTGCCAGCCCTTCATGACGTTAGTCCACTTGCTGAGTGGACCTTCCATTCTCGTGGTAGCCATATTCGTTAGCGCAGACGACACGGGTCCTCCTCTCACAACACGCAATAATTCGCCACTAGCTACACCACATTGATCTCAGCATCGCTATAGTTATAATTCTTGTAACGCTTAGCAATTTCTTGTGTTAACAAACGGTTCAACTACGCCATTAATTCCATAACACTGCAGCTCACTGATTATTTGGATTAAATATTTGTTTTCTTGAACTCGGGAAGAAACAGAAGTTTCGTTTCTCTGTCCGTGGTCTATTTTTAACGAAACACTATCATTATCATCAAGTGTCATGCGAACTGGCGTAGTCGACTATTGCTACTTCTCAACACTTGAAATGGAACCTAATGTATCTAATCTGTTAAGACTTTTCCACACCGTAGACCCCCCCCCCCCCTCTCCCCTTTCCCAAAAAAAAATAATAATTTAAAATATTGTCTGACTCTGTTACCTCATCTCGTTTTTGCATAAACACATTCCAGTTTGTGTCATAACTATTCAATTATTCTGGTGTTTGAGACATGATTGCTTGTTGATCGACCATGATTTAGATAAGTTCCCAGGTGTTGTCTCTAGAATGAAGGTTTGTTTTAAAAAAATCATCATTTTCTGACTCTTGCTCAAGTTCTGCACTTATCGACAGCTGCTCATCCATCTCTAAATCTTGTCTTACCTGTTGGAATCCCCATCTACCCAAAGAGTGGTGACAGCTCGATAAAAATATGAGCCCATTGCACTAATAGAGTGACTTTTTCCCCCTTATAGACAGATAACATCAGAGAAACAGTGTCATCTGCTTATGATCGAGGTGGTCAAAAGAGTAGCGTGCGAACTAGAACAAGAACCTCATTCTTATAAAACATATAACATCTGAGAAACTCTGCGACAGTGCCATCTGCTTATAATCGAGGTGGCAGAAAGAGTAGCGCCCGAATTAGAACAAAAACATCATTCTTATAGACAGATAACATCAGAGAAACTCTGCGAACTTATGTTTCTCTCAAGAACGAAAGCGGTAAACCAGGAAGAGTAGTAGAAGAAGACAAGATTGTGTACACGTGCAAGATGTCAGGTCTATCCAGCTTACAGGGCCGAGGTAGCAGAGTGGCAAGTGTGCTCACCTCTTTGTTCCTGGTCACGTCCCCCTTTAAACGGATACTGGCTGGTGATGGTGATTGTGTGAGAGGGTTAGAATGGTTGTGGGCCAAGCCTATCGTACTTACATAGGATGCTGTTGTAATCTAAACAAGAATATTTACTTCAACTCATCCTTCTTATAATTTGGATTACATAGCCCTAATATTTTTTTTAGGTCAGTGATGGATATTTATGCCTATCAATTATATTTGGTTATTCAGTACTGCATATATTATAAATTAATTGTATAAGATTATAGAATAGATTGTTAAATTCAATATATTTTAAGAGTACTTTCAAACAATTATAGTAATTATATTGTCTAGTCAATCTTTGCGGATATTTAAACGTAACCTGTAATACCATTATTCTGCCTCAAAATCTCTACAGTTCTCTTGATCCAACTGCTCCTAGCATGTTATGATGATACTGATGATAACTGCACCTACTATTAACCATCGGACGTTGGGGTTCATACTGAGGGGAGGATCTGAGCACCTATGGACATGTCCGGAGTGCAATGATGATAACCCAACTAACTAACTAGCTGTGCACCTACACCATATCTAGACCCTATTGAACGCATGCATTGTGTGAACAATGGCCCAAGAAAGGAAATGTGTTGAAATTGGCCTACCATCAAGCCAAAGTCTTTCAAACAGCCTTTCACGCCTTCAGTATTTGTAATTCATTCAAAGCAATTACGTATGTGAGTTGATACCTAACAACATCTGGGCCGAATGGCATCCAGCCAGCGATACTGGATTGATCTAGGATGTTTTAGGTATACCTTGTGCGTTATTTCATAAAGCCAGGCTGTTTGTAGTCTGTTCATTACTATTTATCCGACGTCTGTGGCTTAGGCATTGCGAACGCACTTTATAATGCTGGGGTGCCGGGTTCGATCCCACCTGCAACCGATTTGACAGAAGACTGTCACGTGCTGGTTTCGACAGTGGTATTGAGAGCTGACCTTACAGCTGGCAATAGCAAACTATTGAACTTAACATTTACCACAAATAGCCAAAACATGCTGGGGATGGTTCTGCAACTTATTACTATGTATAGTGGTAATAATAAACATTTCTTCTTCTTCTTCTTCTTCTTCTTCTCCTCCTCCTCCTCTTCCTTCTTCTTCTTCTTCTTCTCCTCCTCCTCTTTCGTCTTCGTCTTTTTCTTCTTCGCGTTCACGGCTGTAAACTCCAGAGGACAGTTTTGGTTGTGCGACCACTATTAGACTTTGGTCCTGTTCCAGAAGCTGAGTGTTGCGTGCACATCTGTTTTACAACTGTGTAGGGCCTATAACGGGATATATGGTGTATTGTGTTGAGTCAGGTATCATGCATTCTTCTTCTTTTCCTCCGGCTACGTCATACAATATTGTGGGAAGATGTGAGGTTCGTTTTGGGGCTCTTTCCGGTGCCTTATAAAAGCCAGTCTTGACTTCCTTAAGGCTGACTGTTTTTTATGCTATTACCTCATCTTCCGAGTGGTCTATCTTGGTCTCTGTCCACTGCATTTCTTCAGCGTGGTTCTCTGTGACAGCTGGTAGCAGGGCATTGTCATCAGATGACCAAACCATCTCATCTACTGTTCCTCAATAGATTGGTTGACTGGTTTCAGATCTAGTCCTCTCCCAAATTCCTTATTTTAAACATTAGCTCTCCCTGTCACTCTGGCAGTTCTCTAAATATATCTGATCTCTGTTGTTATGATTTTGCCAACATTTGTTTCACTCAGGGTCCTTGTTTCACTGCTCGCATACAGTTGGCTAGGAATCGTTCTCACCAGAGGAGATCTCCAACGACCTGTATACTGAAGTATGCCCACACATCATGCCAGCACAAAAAGATGTCAAGAATCTTCTCTCGTTGTCTTCCCATATTTTCCTCTTGATTTTTCCCTCCTCTTGAAAGCTCTCACATTGTTGAATTCACCCCGTGGTTGAACATTTTCATTCAATAATCACCCGGTAAGAAAAAAATTTCTATCATCATTATCATCATCATCAAGTGCCCTGCCGTCTGACGTTGGAGGTCGTGTCCCTCCACGGCCTGTGGTCTTCAACAGCACGTATCGGTCCATGTGTTGACACTCCTCCATACCATGACAAAAGGCAAGAATCGGATCACATTGTCTTACTCTGTCTCTTTTTTTCCCCACAGATTTTTCCAGTGATCACACAAACATGTTACAGTTTCCTTTACTTAAAAAAATTACCAAAATTGTGATAAACTGACTTCAGGCTCTTGCCTTTTTCCAAACATTTTTTTTTTCTTGGCCCCCCCCCCCCCCCCCCCTTTTTTTTTTCCCACCAAGAAATTTTAAGGATTTTTTTTTTTTTTTTTTTTGCAAAACCACATCTCGAAAGCCTCAAACAATTGTGTGGCTTGTTTATTAATTATGCAGGATTCTCATCCGCATAGTCCATTCTAGGTGGCGTTGGTAGTCGTGTCTATCCACAACCGTCTGTCTTGTGTTCTTTCAATCAGTTCTGATACAGATGATGTTCCATGGCATGACATCAAACTATCCAGCATCTTCTCTCTGTCTTCTCTTCCCCTCCATCTTTCTCACTGTCACCAAATACATGTTTTCTGCTTCTCGTGATGACATGACCGAACACCGTAGACTGTCTCCTTCTGATGTGGCTGTCTCCTTCTGATGTGGACAATTAGTTCTCTTTGTGAGTCAGGTTCTTTCCAAATACTTTCATTACTCTTTTTTATCCGTCCAAGTTGTTCTCATCATTTATGTGTAAAACTATATATCTGCTGCTTCCATATAAATAGTCACTCACTGGCCAACTGTCCAAGGTTCATAACCATGTAATACAAAACTAACTGTCCAAGGTTCACAGCCATACAATACCAAACCAACTGCCCAAGGTTCACAGCCATATATTACAAAACCAACTGTCCAAGGTTCACAGCCATATAATACCAAACCAACTGTCCAAGGTTCACAGCCATAAAATACCAAACCAACTGTCCAAGGTTCACAGCCATACAATACCAAACCAACTGTCCAAGGTTCGTAGCCATATAATACCAAACCAACTGTCCAAGGTTCGTAGCCATATAATACCAAACCAACTGTCCAAGGTTCGTAGCCATATAATACCAAACCAACTGTCCAAGGTTCGTAGCCATATAATACCAAACCAACTGTCCAAGGTTCGTAGCCATATAATACCAAACCAACTGTCCAAGGTTCGTAGCCATATAATACCAAACCAACTGTCCCAGGTTCATAGCCATACAATACGAAAGCAAACAAACAGTCACCAGCCAGACAAAGGTTGTGTCCTTGTCTTCCCCAGTTTCGTGTTCGTCATCCTCATGGGCATAGTGTCAATGCTGCTAGTGGTGGGCGGGCTGCTAGTGGAGGAACTGCTGGAGAACTGGAGCAGCAAGTACAAACTGGTCATCACCTTCATCACCTGGGCGTTGATCCTGCAAGCCGTGCAGCTGGTGCTTCTCAGCGGAGCCATGGAGTTGACGTTTCCACCGTGACAGCCGCAGTTGAAGTTTCCACCGTGACAGCCGCAGTTGAAGTTTCCACCGTGACAGCCGCAGTTGACTTTTTCACCGTGAGAGTGGAAGTTGACGTTTCCACCGTGACAGCTGAAGTTGACGTTTTCACCGCAAGAGTTGAAGTTGAGTATTCAACCATGAGAATAACGTGCACGGGCACATGTATATGACATCACGAATGTTACAGGACAAGCCTGGACGTATGACATTCATCAGTGGTAATCAAATGGAGGCAAACTTTTATGAGATTATATGGATATTCATCACTAGAGATAATGCTTATGAAAATCGAGGCCACAACAGAGGAGAAATCTCTCTCTCTCTCTCTCTCTCTCT